ATGATATTTTCCCTCTGAATGTATTATATTTTGTGCTTGTGTTTCTGCTTTGTGTATGCAGAAAATTTAGGATTGATCTCATAAAGATTAAAGTAGGACTAGTTGGAAATAGGCATGGTAAGATCACATTGCATGTAATTTCCATGCCACTCATCCATACTTGATCTATGTCATTGAATATATTGGTGCGATGACCATGGAAGGTTTAGTTACGCTTGAAAGTGACAAAAGCTGCCATGATCTCATATTGATATAGGAGGTGGACCAGATTGTATCTAAGGAAGAATCTAAAGAAAAATAGCATACAGTTGCGCACTAAAGATATATGATATAATTATCTCAAGTTAATATGTGGCCCAAGTGGGAGATTGTTAGGAAATTATATTTTCTAATAATCATTGTGGGTCACATATTATATTAATAATTATATTGTGCTATTTATATATATTGGGTAAATTAAAGTGATCAGTTAAATATTCTCAAATAGATTCCTAAGTGAGTATGGGCTGAATGAGTGGATACCAGTGTTGAGCCAACTAGGTATAATAGGAGCTTATTGACCCAATAATAAAGATAAAAACACTATAAGGGTTATGGTCCCCAAGACGTTAAAGAACAACCCTAGTTTCTCTTCCCCATCAAGAGAGAGACGGCACACTAAGGAATTCAGTTTTAGGGTGATTTGACTGAGGAAGACTACAAACCCCAAGAGACAAGATAAAAGTTATTCCGCTGCAATGGAGACACGCACGCCTCCACCTTTATGTTCTTATTTCTTTATGATTTGATATGATGAATCTTGGCTTGTAGGTGATAGTTATCACTAAAAGGTTTAGAGGAATTAAAAATTCCAACATTAACTACACTTACTTGGAACTGTGCACCACATCATCATTTTTTACAATTGTCCCTCTTCAGTTTTCTCTCCTGAAAACTTCATGTGCAAAAGTGAGAATGGTACCTATCGTGAGGGTGATAAAAATGACGTGTTGAAAGAATTTACAGAGCTTCAGAAATGCGACGAAAGAAAGTGAACAGGGTTTTGATATTATTTTTTTTATATTTTTTAATTAAAAAATTAAAACCTCGACCCAAGTTGACCGTTTGACTTGCCTCAATTTTTTTCGAGCCGACTCAGATTACCATCTTATTTTTGTCAACCTAACTTAACTCATTTTTTATGAGTTATGAACCAACCCAACGGATTGACTCATTTTTGTTATTCCTATGTTCAACCTCCCTTATTTTGCATTTCCTTTTCCATCCATCCTCACAACCAGCATTGTTTCCACAAACTCCATATGCGTCCAACCGAATGGTTTTTATTAGATATTAGGTATAAAGGTAGTTTAGTATTTCAGTGATATTCTAGATCTTTCTCTTTTCTCTTATGCTCTTCTATATAAGAGCTCACATATTGTACAAATTAATTACCACAATCAATGAAATAAATATTTTCTCTTTACTCTCTTTTACCTTCTAATATGGTATCAGAGCATTTTTATCCTCCATGAATGAAGATTCCGCTGCAATCAGTATTTTTTTTTTCTCTTTGTTTCCTTTCTTCCGGATCTGGTCCCGATCTGTGATTTTTTTATCATCAGAGCTACTTTTTATCCTTTATTTTTCTATGTCCATTTTATTTTTTAATTTTGGTTTCAGGTCGTCTTCCTCAATAGCTTTCCCGAAAACCTTTTATCTCTACGTGTTCCTCAGGGCGTCTCCTTCTCCGGTCATCATCTTCGTTCATTCATTTGCCTTCTGTCGTTCATCTTCGCACAGATCTGTCGCCACTCTGGTCTCTGTTCTTCCAGATCTGATTTGGATCTGTGAAACTCTTGCGTCTTTCTCTTCCTCTTCTCAAACTGTCATGGGTGAAACTTCTATTGTCGAAGATTCAGGCATGGTCGCCATCCAACCTCCCCTGCTACACAGGTTTTCTCACCACCGCTCGTCGTCGCTCTCATTTTCGGATCTGCTCTCAGGATCTAAACATGAATCCCATTCTGATATTGATTTTTTTTCTTCTGCGTGGATTTACAAGACTCTCTACGTGTTGTTGCTATGCAGAGATTTTATGTGTTCATTTTTCTGGATTTTCTTCTATTTTTTAGTCAAATCTGATCTACACAATTTTTTTTCTCCGATCTGTTTTTTTGCTCTCATCGGACTTGTTCCTAGTATGTTTGTCTTCTCCAGATCTGTCTCGGTCTGATTAATGTTTCCGCCGCTCATTGAGGCTTGTTCCGGTCATCTCCAGCCGTGACTATCTTCTCCGGCTGTGTCTTCTTTTCCGGCCGGCATTTTCTCATGACCGATGTTCATTCCGGTCTATTCATATCCCAGACTTGTTCCTGGTTTCAGATTTTGTTTGGCGCTGCTATGGATATCTGTGCCTTTTTTTTCACTATTTGGCAATTTTGATTTTATTCCCACATATGTTTGTGGTGTTATTCAAGTTTGCTGATGTTCATTTCAGAACATTTGATTTTGCCGATGTCCATCCCGGCACCGTTTAGTATTTTGTGGCTGATGTCCATCCTAGTCCTCCCATCCTTAGTTGATGCCCATACCAGCACAGTTGATTTCGCTGAAGCTCATTCCAGCACACTGAAGATTTTGGTTTCTTTTTTTTTTTTTTTTTTGCTATTATGTTTTCTTGCTTTTTCTTGTTCAAGATGGCAGTTCTCTCTGTTCACTCTCCATCTTGAGGGGGAGTATTAGATATTAGGTATAAGGGTAGTTTAGTATTTCAGTGATATTCTAGATCTTTCTCTTTTCTCTTATGCTCTTCTATATAAGAGCTCACATATTGTACAAATTAATTACCACAATCAATGAAATCAATATTTTCTCTTTACTCACTTTTACCTTCTAATATGGTATCAGAGCATTTTTATCCTCCATGAACGGAGATTCCGCTGCAATCACTATTTTTTTTTCTTCTTCATCGATCTTCCTTTCCTTTATGTCTGCTTCCTTTTTTTCGATCATTAAAAAAAAAAAATCACTATTCCGGTCATCTTCTTTGGTGTTCTTTTCCGAGGCATGATATTTTTTCATTTTTGTAGATCTACTTGATTTTTCTACAGATTTGTGTCTCTTTTTTCTCTAAATTTTCTTCCACATCTTATAGATCAGATCTGTTATAATTTTTTTTCCCTGGCACTTTTCGTCTGCCATAGTAACTTTTCTAGATTTTCAAATCTGGTTATTCATCTAGCATTTCCCCTTTGTTCGTGATCAGATTTTCAGATCAGATCTGTTATCATTTTCACATCTAAATTTCTCCTCTCTTTTTTTGGTTCCAGATCGTTCACATTTCAGATCTGCGTTTTTTATCTTCTTCCGGCTGTGTCTCCTTCTCCGGTAATCATTTTCGGTTAATAGAAGAGAAAAGAAATGAGACACAGATCCGGATGAAAAACCCAATAGATCTGGAAAATTCAAAAATCAATGGGAGAGAGAAGATTCTAGATGGACGGTGACACAACACAACACAATAGATCCAGAGGAACTATGGCAGAAAAAAAAATGATCTAGGATCTGAGAAGAGGGTCAGACGATGGCAGCAAAGATCGGAAGATGATCTGAACACAATGGTGGATCTTGGACGCAACAAAGATCTGACACAGGAAAAATTAAGGGGAAAAAGTAGCGTTGATGATAAAAATAAAATTCACAGATTCACACATTGGGACCAGATCCGGAAGAAAGGAAACAATGAGAGAAAGAAAAAAATAAAGGGGAAAGAGTAGCGTTGATAATAAAAATAAAATTCACAGATTCACACATCCGGACCAGATCCGGAAGAAAGGAAACAATGAGAGAAAGAAAAAAAAATAGTAATTGCAGCGGAATCTCCATTCATGGAGGATAAAAATGCTCTGATGCCATATTAGAAGGTAAAAGAGAGTAAAGAGAAAATATTGATTTCATTGATTGTGGTAATTAATTTGTACAATATGTGAGCTCTTATATAGAAGAGCATAAGAGAAAAGAGAAAGATCTAGAATATCACTGAAATACTAAACTACCCTTATACCTAATATCTAATAGTTTTTCTTCATCTTTTTCCATACAACTTCAATCACATCAAATATTTTAATTAATATTTGTGTTTCAACCTTAATGATATCCTACACGATCTATAATAATGGTCACAATAAGCTAATTTTGTTCAAAAATATAAAGCCATGTATGTAACGCAAAACTCTACACATACTTCACGAAGAATAAAACAAAAATGATATTTTTGTTATGTCGTCACTAAGATGCGAGTGGTTGATTTCTATTGAATCAAAGGGTAAAAAAAATGGTAGTAAAAATAGTAAAATTACAGAGGTTGTAAGTATAATGTGTCTCGTAATAATAATTTTTGTCTTGGAAAAAATATTTCTTCTATTACAAGAGATAAAAGTATTACCAGCAAAACCAAAACTATATTGTTATAGGAATTGATAGAATTAGTGAAGGATATTTTATGAATTTTATTTATATAAATCTTATCAAAATATCATTAAATAATTTTCTCAACCCTCAAAATAATATAATTTTGAGATCGATAGAGATAATTTTATCTCCTATTACAAGAAAAACAATCAAAATATAAACCCTAAAAAATTGTATCTAAGAGGTTTCACACGTTATATATTTTAGACTTGATTTAAAAAATGGTACTGATGCAAATATTTCATGCAAGGTTCAAATTAATAATTTATAAAAAAAAGGAATATTTGAATTCAGTTCCTAACAGCAATCGAAAGAGAACCTCATTTAATAAGAAACTTTTTTTACAAAGAACAAATTAATCAAATAATTTATTTGTTTTGTGAAAACTGAAAAGGGCAAAAAAGAAAAAAAGAAGTGAAATGGGCTAAAGGGGAATATAGGAGAAGCCCAAGAAGTGAGCCCAAGTTGAATTGGATGCATCGGACCGAAACAAAACGCGATCGATCGATATTATCGAAGTGCAGATAAAAAAAAACTCCAACCTTTTTCGTTTTCTACGAGGAAACAAACAAAGTAACAATTAACAGAAGAAGAAAAAGTTTATAGAGTTTTTCAGTTTTGCTCTGAAGAAATGGCTGCTCTATCAACCTCCATCGCTATGCCCATGAATCCAGAGAACCACTTTCTATCAGGTCATTACTTCTATCACTTTCATCATCGCCATTGCCCAAAAGGGCACACTCAAAAGTGAAAATTCTTCCTTCTCCCGCCCCCCTCTAGGTTGCACTACACGTTGCTGTTTCTTCGATCGTGAATGCGTTTCTATGTCGTTCAAGTTTGCATCTTTTTATTGTGGTTGTGCATGTCTAATTCTGGGTTACTCCAATTTTTTGTTTTTGTTGTTTCGTGACTTTAGCTTCGTACAGTGTTTGGTTCCTTGGTCATGGGGAAGCTTAATCAGATTCATACCATTTGGTTGGATTGCCTTAAAAAGTTAATGATCGATCTCATTGTGCAGATAGGTTTTGATTTCAATTATTGATGTGAACAATGGCTATAATTTTGGGTGAGAAGAGAATGAAAAGGTGGAACATGAGAATGTGAAAAAACGGCGATGTACCTGTTAGGATAGCAGATCCTATCTTTAGAGAGAATGGAAACAATGAAAGAAAACAGAGTAAACTCAAGTAGAGAAAATGATTCATTCCTTCCGCAAATAGAATTCACTTACAAGAACGCTATTAATAGACTGCTATTACAAGTGATCTATGTCTTGTGACTGACTTCCACAACTGATTATACAATGGCTAACTACAATGACAATCTTGTAATTAACTAAACTTAACTTGGTTCTGTTGTAACTCCATCAACTACTCAACACTTGTAGATAGCCTTATGTGGCAAGTTGGCATATTGAGTTGGACAGTATTTCAGTTTGGGCATACCACTTAAATTCTTGCAGAATTGGATTTATATTGTTCTTATCATACTAAAGTGCTATATAATTTTGTCTTTATATAGTTGTTTTGCCATCTGGGCATATATGATGGCCTTGTTGATGTAGCATTTCCCTTGTTTCCTGGTTGGTTGTTCTGATTGATTAATGATCGTTGGGGTAGAATAAATTGGTCTTATACAATCACCATGTGGGCATTTTTTCATTTTTTTGGGTCTCATTTTGAGGAGGATGTTGATACACGCATGCTGCCTCTTATATATATATATGTGTGTGTGTGTGTGTGTGTGTGTGTGTTTAGTTAGTGTACGCCACATTGTTGGGGGTGGCATGTTAATGTAATTGTGGAGCCATATAATCCTGATGTTAGGAGATGCGGTCTTTGAAGTTTTAAAGATTTTTATATATTTGTATAAATGGGTGGAAGATAACTCAATGATAACATTTTTGGGCTGGATTCATGGGAATAAAATATTTTGATTGATCCTTGCTACTGTATTAACAGCCCCCCATTTCTGGTGATTTTCCAGGATATCTAATATTCAGATTATTTAATGTCAGGTTCCCTGTTAAAGCCGATGGATAAATGCTTCATGAAAATAAGCTCCAGTGAACACTTTCCAGGTTCCTCTGTGAGGGCAAAAGCAACACGTAACCTGCCACTTATAGTTCGAGCAAGGTAGGAGTTGGAAATAAAATTTCTGGTGCATTTATTTTTTTGTGCATGCCTATTTAGTGTATAAGCCTAAAAATTGGTTTGGCTTCAACAAATAGTACACCGACAGCTATTCTTGTTCTGGTTTCATTTTGTTATTCTAATTGAATTTTATGGCGTGATTGTCGATTGTAGCTTACGTTTAAGTCATTTGCTTGTCTAAAATCTTTATACATGGATAAGATAATTTTAACAAGTCGGTATACCTTTCGAGATTATGCTAACTTTTTTTTGTTTTTAATCTTTCTGCTAATACAGTGGGGACGGTGGAAGACCAAGTAGTGGAAGTGTCTTTGTTGGTGGCTTTGTATTGGGAGGACTAATTGTTGGCGCATTAGGTTGTGTATATGCACCTCAGGTATATATGCAGAGCCAGCCTTGTCCACTTTTATATTTTTCCTTTCCATGTGGCCGGGCAGAAGGTCCCTTCTTTCTTGTTTCTTGAATTTATTGTCATTTTTAGGTGATGAGCCTTGGAGCAACAGTAAGGTTGCTCCTTCTGACCGAAAGGTCATGGGTTCAAGTCTTGAAAACAACCTCTTTGCAAAATATGTAACGGTAAAGCTGCGTATAATCGACTATCACCCCTACCCTCGTAAGTCGGGGAGTCTTGTGACCGAGGTTTACCTTTTTTTTAGGTGTACCAGTTATTCATATTGTGGAATATTTTCTTCTAAAATTAGTCATGGGAAAATACACATTAGTTATCTCTACTTTGGCCAAAGTTTAGTTTTGTTCAAATCAGATGTGAATCTAATCTTAATTCTTAACACATCACTCAGCAATGGCTTTCTGTATTAATTTCCATCACTTTACTCCTATAAAGTTGTAAGATACTTCCCCTCATTATGTACACATGCATCAAATTTCAATATTTCTTCATTTTCTATTGACACAGCTCTTTGGTATCATAAAAACTACTTCCACTTCATTGTTTGCGTGACATTTTCTCCTTTTCTCTCTAATGATGAATCATCATATATATGTTGTTTTTCAACAATTGATCTATCAGGGTTCGTTTTCAGAGACTGATCTTGCTGTTTGTTCATATGCTGTTTTTATTTCCATCGGCTACTGCTTTTACTGGATAGCTGTGCATATGCTTGACAACAGAGAGCTGGATGATATGAATTTACTTGTTTTTAGACTTTTTTCTTTAAGGTCTTATGAACTGCTGATTTTTGTACATAGAGCCGCTTTTTATATGTTGTTAACATTTTTTTAATGAGTTGAAAGGTCAAAAAGAGATTACCTTTGACTTGTATGTTATTAATTTTCCAGATAAGCAAGGCAATAGCTGGAACTGGAGCTGACAGTAAAGATTTTATGAGGAAACTTCCAAAATTTATGTATGATGAAGAAAAAGCTCTGGAGGTCAGGAATTATACGTGCAGTTACCATTTATTTGAAACCATGCCCATTAATGGTGTCTGAACAAAAAAAGAATAAAAAAAATGGTTTTTGTATAACCCCATCGAAGTTTACCCAGAAATTGAGGTCAATTATCCAAAATACAAGAATTTCAGCTGTGAACATGGTCTATACTGGTAGACTGTAGTGATGGATCCAGAAAAATTAGGTAGTGGGTCAAGATGAGTAAGGACAATGCTGACACATAAGTAACTATTTGTAAAATATTCAAATTTAATTATAAAAATACAACATTATAAGCTATCAGGGTTTAATTATGATTCATTTTTAAAATAAATCATTTAATAGTATCATCTTGTCATATGTTGCTATAACATAACCGAATTTAACGTCTATGTTAATTATATTAAGCAGGTATGGGGTAAATCGTAATAAATTATGGAATATAAATATATAACAATAAAAAATTATATATACCCTAATAATAGTGTGGGACAGTGGGGGAAGATGCCCTCGTGACCTGCAATTTAGGTCTGCCCCTGTATAACTGGTTGTGGACATCTTTCAGGGAAGAAGTAACTCATACTTTAAGCCCATGTTATAATTTGAAGTTGGGTTTTATAATTATTGATTATGACTTGTAAGAAACTTTACTGTATGTATTTATAATTTATTAATGAAGTGGAACTTGTGACAGAGTTGCACTTGATCTGTTTTACAGTAGCATGGAGATGAACTCCTTTATGTAACTTGGTTTTGAGGGCAACATTTGATTTTTAAATTTATACTTCTGATGTCTTCCCCAATCTTTTGAGTAAAGTTTTTTTTTTTTTTTTTTTTTGCACTGTGCATATTGTTCTGTCATTTTGCTATACAAATTACCTTATTGAAATTCTTGTTATTTTCTGCTGTGATTAAAACAGAGGACTCGCAAGGTGCTATCTGAGAAAATAGCACAGCTAAATTCTGCCTTAGATGGTGTTTCTTCACAATTGTGGACGGATGAAGACCCAAAGGAACCTGCATCTAGCTCGGAGGAAGTTGGAGCTTCCATATAATAAATGATTTGAGGATATTTAAGCACAGTTTCTCACCTTTTTTTGGTGGTCAAGAAATATTATCTTTAGTTATTGGATTTTAAGTTTTACGAGTGAATTTTGCTTATCAGAATTATCTATTTCTTTTTGTAATGTTTAATTGTTTATAGATATTTTTTGTTGGTTTTAGGAAATTGACAGCATCAATCTGGCATATTCCTGGTTCTTGGCTGAAATTGAGGTTGAATTCCACAAATAAAAAAAAAAAATGTTGTCATCTACTCAAAGTTGCAAGTCCACAAATTGCTTTTGGATCATTGAGTCTATTCTATATGAACTTGTCAGTTGTCACAAGTTGGTTGCAGCAAACGTAGATGATTATCTGGACATGTGTGTATTTATTCACAACAGGTTACACAAGTAATTTTTTTTATGTAATTGGCGAGTACTATATTCATCCAATTTAAACATAACACGCTACACAAACGTTAAATACATGTAAGAACAGAGCTAATTTGCTGTGGGAGAGGGACTCTTGTTTCTACGCTGGCAATTCTGGTGCAAAATAGTTCACATATTCATCTTTTTTTCTTATATAAAAAGCAGCAGAAATAAAAATTACTTGACCAGAAATTGATATCCAATGCAAAAGTTGACAATATATCATGAATAGTGTCTAATTCATTAACTACTTTTATTAATATAAAAATATAGGATTAAATGATAATAAAAAAATTGAATCAAACATAAATTTAAAATGTAACAATGGCATTACAAAAAATTAATGTATCAATCAAAATTAATTGTTATTGGTACATTAATTAAATAGCCATTTTTCTTCGTTTTCTTTTTTTGATTGTGATTGATACATTAATTCTTATTGAACAATGAGATTGTTCCCCATAGTGCACCAAATTTGCTATGCCTAGCGAACTTAATCCAATCAGCTTTTCTTGCAAAAATGTGTCACGTGTCACGAAATCATTAACTATCAAATTCGCTATTAGTCGTAACGAACTTGGATGAATAACAGTCAATTTTTTATTTTATTTTTACAAAAATGTGTCACGTGTCAAGAAATCATTAACTACCAAATTCACTATCAATAGTAGCAAATTCAACACATGATAATCTGATAAATTTTACTATTTGCAAAGCAGATTAGTAAAAAATTGCAAAAAACTACATTGATCACTTTTCCCATGTGTCCTAGGTGGCTTGTAGCACCAAAGTTACATACATGTTGTTTCTTTGAACTCGAAAAAGAATAGCCTTTTTAGAGAAACCTACCTTGGCTTTCTTCGTATAAATATAAACCTCTCATGTCAAGTCAATTTAGTTTTTAAAATTCAACACACGCTAAGATGGTGTTTTCATCACATTTCCCCTTCCTATGCCACTTTTTGGGTTTCACCGATTTGTGTGTGGCAGAAACAATCACAGGCATTGATCGCACAAATGCTCAGATATCAAAGGGGTATATCACTACAAGTCCATTTGTTACACGTCAGCCAAGGAAATCTACAAGGAAGAAATGCGTTGGAGCAATGAGGCATGACTACTATTAGCATTTTGTGGAAGCATATATAAGCACATGCAGAAATAGAGATGCCAGCATAATCAAACACATTAAATGAAATAGAAAATTAGATGATAATGCAATTTACATTATAACAGTGCATCAAACTATAAGCTCTTTATGAATACCTTTATTAGATACATAACATATAAAAAAAAAAACAGTTCCTCTGTTTGCTCCTTATTATGAGCCTTTGCTCCAGCATGGATAAAAAATATCAACGTTAAAATCATGGATTTAAAGCGAGGGTAAAGTTTCCATTACTGACAAGTGATTTATGAACATTGAACAAGAATGTACCAAAGTGGTCATCTCAAGTTTAAAATATACAATAATCAATAACATGTTAAAATTTTATAAAAGGAGAAGAATGTAGTGTAACTTTAATGCAATGAAGTGGATCTTTCTAAAGGGTGAGGCTTAACAAATGAGAAATCATCGACATTGTTGGTTTCTCCCTCACCATGGTGTGTATCTTCTTCTGCTTGTTGGTCACCATGATCCACTCTTATAATCAAGTTCGTTGATGGAAATGTGCGAGACAACTGATCAATATCAGATTCATATTCATCTTGATCCTCATTGGTTGAGTGGCCAGTGGTTTTGAAACGGTGAAGTATGGGTCCCGGGAAGTGCAATATTGAGTCAACTGAGCTTCCCCATCCATGGTTCTTGCTATGGGCTTTCCTAGCTGCTCCCTGCTTCTTTTTCACAGCCATGAACCCATTTCTTTAAATCCTTGGATGTTTGTTCATCAAATATTGATTTTTTCATCCTTGAACCCATCTGCATCTGTTTTAGCGTGAATAGTGATCACCAATATCAAACTTTCATAGCCTGCAAGTACAAATAGTGTAATGTTACCTGTAATGATCAAATAATAAATGATGATACCCATTAATGCATAAAATGTACATAACATATTAACATATTAGAGATCACAGCATCAAAATTAAATTTTACTAATTCTTTTGCAAATATACAAGGCAAGACCTTTTATTTTAAAGAAATGGCACATGGCTGTGAAACCCATAGTAAGAACCATGGATGGAAGCACCGTTGGCTCAACATCGCACTCCCCCGGACCCATACTTCACCGGTTCAATACTACTGGCCACTCAACCAATGAGGATCAAGATGAATATGAATCTGATATTGATCGGTTGTCTCCCAAATTGCCATCCACGAACTTGATTGTAAGAGTGGATCATGGTGAGCAACAAGCAGAAGAAGATACACACCATGGTGAGGGAGAAACCAACAATGTAGATGACTTCTCATTTGTTAAGCCTCACCCTATAGAAAGACCCACTGCATTGCATTGAAGTTACATGCTTGTCAAACTCGCGAGTAAACTCGTACTCGCAAACTCGGACGAGTTTACGTTTCACTGCAAACTCGCTTTTGGCACTCAATCGGTAGAAACGCCGTCTTTTTGGCAAAGTCGTAAACTCTTACGAGTTTAACGATTTCAAGGAAATGGAGAAAAACCCATGGATCCGAAAATTTGACCAGAAACCCATCGTATTTAGGGTTTTTTTTAACACAAAAAACCTTAAATACCTGGTTCAGCCGCCATCGTTCTTGCTCATTGAGAGAGTTCTTGCTCATTAAGAGACGACGTTTTCTCCGGCTCCTGCTCCACTGCCTTCTCTGGCTCCGGTAAGTGGAGGTTCTGTGGAAATGCGAGCTTCTGTTAAGCTGTGGTTCTCAGAAACCATCGTTGTTGCGATGACTGTGTCTTAGAAGATGAGGCAGGCACTAGAAATCAGCGTCAGCGGGTGAAAGGGGAAAAGAGAAAGGAGGGGTAGAATGGGTATTACAAAAAAAGCTAGGTCAATTAACTAACCTAGTGGGCCAAGTCCAAAAGCAATGGGTGCTGGAAAAAAAGCAATGAGTTCTATCCAACTCCTTAAAATAATTTTAGTAGTTATTTTGAATGAAGGTCCAAAGCTTTTAATATTTAAATTTGAGAGAAAAATGCTGAAAATAATAATGTTTTATTACTTTATTTAATTGTATTAATAATTATATGAAATTTGAAATGTGAATGTAAAATATTTTTACACTTATAATACATGAAAGTTAAATTTAATATTATTTATGTATATTAATAACTCATTTTTTATTTAAAAATCAATTGTGATATTAAAAGAAAACATATTTGATATTAAATTTTAAGCAAAAAAATTTAATATAACTAACATAACTCTGAATATGAATTTTAAGTAAAAAATATTTGATATTTTGTTTTGGATTTTGATCTTTTGTGCTATGAATTTATGTGTTTGAGACATAATGTGATTATGACTATTGTATGACATTATTTTGCTGGTTGATTAAATTAAATTTGTTTATTATATTACTTTATATGTATATAAATATATATAAATATAATTTGTATCCTGTGTTACGATTCTATTATCCGTGTTACGATTCTATTAAGACGATTGGATCTCATGGTTCTCGCTAGGGGTGGCAATACAGATATTGACCTGCGGGTTGACCCGTGACCCGACCCGCCAAATCACGTGTCGTGTCAACCCGCGGGTCAGGGCAGGTCGTGTCAGGGTTGTGTAAATGTGACCCGTTTTTTTCGTGTCGGGTCACGTGTCAACCCGCGGGTTCGCGTGTCAACCCGCACATTGTCATTTTTTAAATTTTCAATTAAATATTTTATTATATTATTATTATTATTCATTTATATATTGATATATATAGTCATTGTTTAGTATAGAAAAGAATACAAGGAACTAAAAATCTCAAGAAACAGAAGCTAATCTTTTTTTATTTTATTTTTTATTTTTTATTGTTTTTAATTTATTTATTTTTCAAAAAATCCCACTTTTTTTTTAATTTTAAATTTTGCGGGTCGTGTCGTGTCGACCCGTGACCCGCAACGGGTCGTGTCAGGGTTCGTGTTTTGTGACCCGTTTACAAAACGGATCGTGTCAGGGTCGTGTCAAATAGTGTACGGGTCGAAAACGTGTCGTGTCGTGTCGTGTCGGGTTGACCTGTATTGCCACCCCTAGTTCTCGCCTCCACCAAACCCCTCAACGAAATTTACGACAAGAAAAAATGGCAAGACAAATAGCGAAAACAAGAAGGAAGACGTAAAGAACCACTTCAACCCAAAACGTTAAGGTGTTGTGAGGCTAAATTATTTATTTTGTATCTAACGCACCCCCCACGCAAGAGCCCTTAGGCTTGAAGCGTGAATATGGCACAAACCCATTTTGGTCGGCCTTGTGCTGCACATTCTTTGGTCTACCTTGTGCTTGTAACCTTTTACGTGCATCAATATCAAGTCAACTGAGAACTTCACTCCAGAATTTAAATATTGCAAATGGAATTTTGTAACAAGCTGTGCAGCTTGTCACCAATGATAATCTTTATTTAGAATGTGTTGATACTGGTTAGCAACTAAATATTGGGTTGTATTTTCAATTTCATGGGTTCTCAACTTTTTCTGATAATATATGAATTTCTGAACTCTGAATATGTAGTTCTCTCTTTGTTGTGGTAAGTGATCATTGGAATATTGGACTGTTTGGTGCTCTCTTTCTATAAATGTCATGTTCTTATTTTTCCATGCCAAATGGATCTTTTCTCTAGTGAATTTCAGAGGTGATACTTGTAATCTTGGGAGTAGTGAATCTAATTTTAAGAGGTAAATGTTTTATCTTGTAGTAGCTTTTGCTAAAAATCCGGCCTTAATTGATTTCTTAGGTTGGACACTCCAATTTGATACTTCGGAACTGCATGTGTTAAGAGCTTAGCAGTTAGAACTGACATACCTTACTTAGTGGAAAGATGTTTCAAGGATTGTGTCAATATTTTTTATCGGAAACCTCTGACCAAGCAAGAGGAAACGTGTTATCAGATGTGCTGAAAAATTCTTGAGGCTTTCAATGCTAGAAGACATTTTCAGATCTCAAACAAGGAGCATCGACAACAAGGAGCATCTCAAACAAGGAGGTTCTTCTGAATAGCCTCTGCACAATAATTTTTTGTATCACCCAGAAACATTCATATGTGAATGTGTTTTTTTTATGGTTATTAACCAGGAATTGTTTAATTTTTTAATGTAGTAAATTATGAGAAGCTTTCACCTCAAGCTTGCCTACATCTTTCTCAGAATTCAAAATTTCCTGCAAAATCTGCATTTCATGCTTTCATCTCTCAACTATCTAAGCTCAAAGCCATGATACTCCCAATTGTGGTTCAAGTGGTGTTGCTCAAAGGGGAGACACAGACAAAACCAGTGAACAGGATGTGTTGTATGCTAGCAATTTTGATCTTTCAGCTGATAATGACAAACTCAGAGCATATTTGCAAGGAATGCGGCGGAGGGTTATGGAATTACATGAATTCTGTAGGAAAATACAAACCCAGATTGACAAAGATCACAAAATCAAAAAGCACGTTCTGTGAATTGGAGCCACATTTTGGTTGTCCTTGTACTAACACAATTTATTTATTTTGGTTTTTTTAAAGAGGCACGGGTTCATATGCATTGGAATTAATAAGTGTATGATTTGTTATTTACTGAAATTCGAAGGTGTTATATAAACTTCATTATACCGCTGATGATTGAGTGAAATTAACACGTGATTTATTTGTACTATTTTTACTACACTTGTACATTTTATTATCCTTGAGCAATAGTTGTATTGTATAGTTGTAGGATTATAAATAGGAATTGAGGTACTTGTAAAAAGCACATTTAAAAATACGAAAGTTTTCCAAAATTTTCTTTGTTTTTTCAGTTTCTCATCGTCATCCATAGTAGTTAATGTACTCAATTTGTGATATCGAGTTCAAACCATTTATGTTCTATTCAATCTGCTTCTGTAGCTTGATAAGAGTAAAGATCATAAATGGATGAAGTGGTATGAGTAAAACATGATAACTTGAACAACCAACCTACAAAGGTAAATGAAGAAAAAACCTGGCTTATCAAAGCATTCATTTGCCAGTATGATGTGTGTAATTGGGAAAGGAAACAGTTGAGAAACCTACTAAAGTTCTTAACACTAACATGATGATGCAGAAGAAGAAAAGGAACCCAACAACCAGAAAGTTACCGAAATCTATACCATTAAACAACATCCACCATGTTCATTCAACTGGGATCATATCTTGAAGAAGTGTTGTGGGAAAATTAACCATAAAAAGGAAAAATACAAGTGAGCCTTTTCAGCCATGAATGCCGTCTTCTCTTAATCTTTTGGATACATTGGTATTTGATTGTGGCCGGAATAAACGTCCATAAAGGATAGCAACCGAAACCCGACTGAGTTATCCACGAGTTGGTCTATGTTGAGTATTGGGTATGAATCTTTAGGACACACTTTATTGAGATCAGTGTAACCCGTATAGTCCCTTCATTTTCCACTAAATTTCTTAATCATAACCATTGCTTAGCCATGTAGTATATTAAATCTCTTTTATGGAGTAGAACTTGGTTTAGTTTAAGTGTACCAAGAAGGGTGGCGCCCTAAGCAACTTCCAGATTACATGAAGGGTAATTTCAGGGTTAGAATTGTTTAAGATAAACTACTCATGTAAATCTAGGTTATTCTGTAACTAGTTTTAACTTAAAATTCATTTGCTATTATAACTAGCTAACGCATGAAGTTCAAACAAAAAATGTTGATATTGATGACTAAAACGAAGAGATGTATTTAATAAAGTCTTCATTATTTATTGGGCAGAATTAAAAATATGCGTGTAATACTCAATACATTTTGAAAATTTTATACATAGTTATGATTTTATTTATAATATTTTCATACAAAAACTTTTCTATAAAATCACTACGGAGTTTCTTTTGCGGAAAATTTATGCTACAAAGAAAAATTCTATCTTCATGAGATATTTTCGTTTGTAGAGATATTTCATGTGAAAACAAAACAAGTGTGTTTGGATTCAAACTACCACAATCCTGTCAAGTGGGTATGGGAATGAGTAAACTACTCCAGAAAATTTGTTACATGAGTTTGGATGGAGAAAAATTAAAATATTACACTTTTAATAAGTAGCAGTTTGGAAACTATATTCAAATTTATTGCACTTATTTACGTCCAAATTAAGCGTGATTATTCACGTCCAAATTAGGCGTGACTCCCAAAGCATTCATGCTTAATTTAGGCGTGAATCATCTGGTGTTGACACGTGACAAAAAAAAGTCAATTACGAACCGTAAAACTTTGAAAAGCCATAACTTTTGACCCGGGTATCCGAATAAGGTAATTCTTTTTTGATTCCACATAACTTTTCGAGATCTACGCAATGACATCTCATTTGATATATTTTATCTCTCAGAAACACAATTCAAATTTACAATAATTGTATTATATAGTGTATTACCAAATTATTTTAAAAAAATTATTATTAATAAGAAAAAGAAAATAAAGATTTAATAAACTCAAAAATCAATTTGAAAAATCTGTATTAATAAAGAAAATAAATAAATAAATATTCTAAACACTTGCTTTTTTAATAAATAATTACGAATAAGTTGCCGTTTCGAACCTAATTACGAATATATTGCACTCATTCACGCCCAATAATGGTACTATAACATTAAATTCAAAATTCAAATAACCTCCAATAAGTTGATTGCATTTTGTATTTAAATTGTGTTTTGTATTTAATAGAAGCTGATTGCGTTGTAATTTTATGAGTTCGTTACAGATTGTCTCCAATTCAAATAAATTTGCTGATGGTTATTTGAATTTTGAATTTAATGTTATAGGAGTTGATTGTGTTTTGTATTTAATAGGAGCTGATTGCGTTTTGTATTTAATAGGAGTTGATTGCGTTTTGTATTTAATAGGAAATTTGATGTCATCTTATTTATAGATGAGTTAATTCACTTTGGTGCCATCTTTATAGTATCATTGTTGTAAATTTGAATTGTGTTTGTGAGAAATAAAACATATCAAATGAGATGTCATTGCGTAGATCTCAAAAAGTTACGTGGAATCAAAAAAAGAATTACCTCATTCGGATACCCGAGTCAAAAGTTATAGCCTTATAAAGTTTTACGGTTAAACTATTAATTTTTTGTGCCACGTGTCAACACCAGACGAGTCACGCTTAATTTAGGCGTGAATGCCCTGGAAGTCACGCCTAACTTAGGCGTGAATAGTCACGTCTAATTTGGGCGTTAATGACTGCAATAAATTCGAATATAATTTTCAAACTGCTACCTATTCATAATTAATTATTAAAAGTGTAATATTTTAATTTTTTTGCGTGAGTTTTGGATATTGTACCAGCGATTGTATATTCTCATATTAAGAGAGGAGTTCATAAATATACGGTGGTGGGGCCTATTATTTAAAAAAGTACGATATAATTTTTGAAAATATGTAGGAAGAAAAATTATTCTCATGAGAATATTTTTTTCCATTATAATATGAGTTAATCTTTTATCATTAAATATGAGAGGAAAATTTTCTCATACTAAAATATCACATGGTGGAACCCACTAAATTTGAAAAATAATTAAAACATGAAAATTTTGATAGGTAAGTAGGAGAAAAATCTTCATGAGAAAAGGATGAACTCTTAGAATAAATACATAATCAAAATGAGCTTAATATTTTTCTCTTCTTTTCTTTTTCACTCAACTTCACGCCAGACAATTGTTTAGTTGTACAATAATTTTTTTAGATGTTATAATCTCAAATTAATGAGAAAAGTGTGTATAGGATATAAAGTTGTGTCATTCTAAAAGAGAGAAAGAGATAGATAAAGAAGAAGAGAATTGACAAAAAAAAATAAAATTGTGAATTCTATTTCTGTATAGAAGTAAAATAATATAAATTATGTTATTTAAAAATATAAACACTTTTTTCAAAATTAATACACATGTACAAAGAACCAATGAGAAACAAAAATTGGCCACGACTTTAGATCCATCACAGTCCAGTCAGGAATAGTTGGCTCCTCACAAACAATCAATGAGAAATAAAACTCTTCCATATGTTTTGGACAGATGTTGGCATGCTGCTAGCTGTCACGATCTCCAACCCAAATCTGATGACAACAAAGCACAACCAATGTGGGGACACTTATGGATTGATCTTTATTCTTCATTTATTGAAGTAAATTTTGATGGCTGCTGAACATGGTTCATGAATTTTGTTTCCTTTGATATTTAAGTCGGTATTAAATTTATAGCCATGTTGAAAATTTTATTTATAAATACGCGTTTTTGTTAATAATTCTTTGAATTCAGAACTCATAGAGTCTTCGCGGGCGTTTGGTACAGGAAAATTTTTTATTTGTCTGGGAATTTCGATTTTCAAAAATATGATTTTTGCATTCAGTTTACGATAATATCTAAAAATTTAAAATTTAGAAAAATTCAGTTTCCGAGAATCCTTCAAAATTCCGCGTACCAAACGTCCCCGCTTGTTAAAGTTGTTAGTCTCCCACTTGATAACAAACACTTCTGACTCGTATTTGAGTTGGAATTCTAAATATATTAAAAAAATTAATATTTATTATATTGTAAAAAATAAATTTTATTTTTTACACACAAAACATATGTGAGTCTTATTTTTTTTATTATCTTTTCTCCTCACATTAATCCATGTAAATCTTATATATTTTTATATATATAAGAGATAAATTTATCTCTTAAATTGTAATATCCATATCCCAAACAAACGGGACCATACATAGTATCAATCTCGTTGTGTTTGGTCAAAGTTAGAGGAAAGAAAGAAAAATCTTCCAGCATGATAATTTCATCTCTCTCGATATATATATATAATGAAGAGAAGGCACGTATAAACTCTATCCATTAAAGCAAAGTGCAAATAAACCGATTCACCAAAAAATGAAAAATACAAATAACCATAATAATCCAAAGCCCAGGAGTTCCAACCCTTCTTCTTCACAAACTCTGTTCTTTTGGGGAAGATTTTTGTAGCTCAAAGCCTCTGATTCCCAGGTTTTATACGTCACCCCCTCTCTCCAACATATATGCTTTGTATATCTCCTCTGTTTCTATCTCATTCATTAGTATTCTTTATATCGTCTTTGATTTAGAAAATATTATAATCATCTTTTTCATTTCAAATATATTAACAGCTTCTAACCAGTAATCAATTCCTATGGGAATTCTTATTGATTCTATGTCCTTCAGTTTCAAAGGCTTCTATATTTTCTTTTCTCACATAACTTTTACAATATTAAAAAAGTTAATTCATTTCTTCAGAAAACTTTGGTTGCTGTTGATTATTCTGTCGGGAGCTAGTTAGAAAATGCTCTGCTTGTGTTTCCATATGTCACTTATTGGTTACCTTTCTTTTTTTGGTGGGACATGCATGTTTGTTTCCCACTTACCCTTTTCCCGTGCTATGTACGTTGTTAATAATTTATTTCATTATAAACGAAATTGCAGTTTAAGAAAACCAAATTCAAAGCTCTTTCTAATCAGTTTCAACAATAGTATTTATAAATGGATAATATTTTTCTCATGTAATACATACTTCCAAGAGAATAAATGAGGAGAGATAGAAAAGAAAAAAGTGTGAGAAAAAATTTGTAATGAGACCCACATCTCAAACGTGTGTAAAAATATTTTGATCTCTCGTGTAAAAGGAAAGACATTAACCCTTTATAATTAGGCTTTATTATTTATACAGTGAATGTAGATAAGTTATTTACATTTGTTCTCAATAAAAAATTATAATAAAAAAGACTATTATAATCTTGTAATAAATTATAATTACAAAAATACCTTGATTTCTACCTCAAAACGATATCGTTTTGAACTCAGTGTAGACAAGTTATATAATTGTAGAAAAAGTGAATCTTTATATATATATATATTATATAACTTTAAATTAATTTTTTAAACACCTTGTAGGTGTGAGTAAAGATGCATGAAGTCACACCATAGTTATGTGTTACTATTTTGATTATTTAAGACATGACATTGATAATTTTTACTATTTTACAACACAAAGTTGGGCTCGCAATTTAAATCTGGATTGAACAATTCGAAAGCATAATTGTATCATGGATTGATACGCTAACGAAAGATGTCGAAAAGGGTAATAGATCACCGTGCATAATAATAATAATAATATATGATTAAAGTCATGGGGTATAAATAATGATAACATAATAGTAGATAATCAGGTGATACCTACCGAATAGGCTTAACCCTTAATTATATGCAAGCAATGTTACCTATAGATATAGAATCTTCCTTGTTGGAGGATTACATAAATGTTATTAAGGTAGTGTTTGGTTGAAAGATTATTTTGGGATTGATGGAAGAGTGTAAGTGAATATTGGAGAATACCACGTTTGGTTCAGGTTTTTTCAAAAAAATACTAGGCAAATGAGATAGATGGGGAAATGACTTTTGTGTTGATTTTTGGATGAAATTCATTGTTACAGAATACCACTTGAGATGTGGTATTTTGAGATAACTGGGGAAGTGAAAAAACAGGTGCGAAGTTTCTCCCGAACATAGATTTTGCAAATTTAAATAAATTTCTCTGGTAATATTTCGTTCAACCAAACAACTTTTTTTTATATTTTCTTACCAAACTCACTTTCCAACTATTTCTCAAGTAATTACATTTTCCTAGTATTCAAAAAATTTCTCGTCAATCTAACACCCTAAAGATAATTGATCCTATTCTTATCTCTCTAACTCATCACTTAAATCAAAAATTGAAATTATATTATCTTTTCTTAATCAAAAAGTAAGTGTGCCAGCTGGCCACTCTGTTCTCACTCTGTTCTCACCCTCACACCTTTTAAGAGATTCTCCCATCGCATGCATTTAGATTTATGTGTATTACATTTAATTGTGTGCGCCTTTTCCCGAAAATGAAATGAAGATTTAGTAGTTTAGAAAATATAGACTTCTTTCTTTCTTTCTTTTCTTTTTTTCTATTCAATCTGAAGTTTTGATGGTTTTGGAATTTGATTTAAGAATGACATATTATAAAATTAATTTTATTTAACACAAACGCGTCGTTGTCAAAATATACCAAATTTGGCTAGGTAGCATGAATAATTGACAAAATAAGTAGGTTAAACTAATTAAATAAAAGTAAACACAAATTATTCAATATTTGGTTGTCTCAAGCGTAAACTAAATAATATCATAAATAAATAATGTTACAAAAATATAAAAAATTTATTTATGGACATTCACTTGAGCTTTTGGTGAAATGATTGTTATTGTTTTACATAATAGTCACGCTACAAGTCTAAAAGTCTAAAAGATTATTGTATGGGAAAATTTGTTAAAGAAATATAAAAATTATTAGTGGACCTTTACTTACCTGCTTAAAATTTTAGGTGGAATTGTTGTTTGTAAATAATAATAATAATTTTATATGTTTTTATTTAAATGTTATTTGAAAATTATTTAATCTTCTCATACTAATTAATCAAATAAATTATCTAGATTAATATTTTTTAATTTAATAATATAAATAAAGACTTTAATATTTCTACATAGGATGTAGATAAGTTATCTGTATTCACTCCCAAAGCAATGTCGTTCTGGGTTGAAAGATTAAAAAATTATAATGAAAAGGACTATTATAACTTTAAAATAAATTATAATTACAACAACAAAAAGGGAAAAAAATTTCTAATGTTACTTTAGACAACTTTATCTAATGTTCATCAAAACGACGTCGTTTTGGGGTTGAAAAATCAAAAAATTAGAATGATAAAGACTATTATAATCCTGAAATAAATTAAAATTACAAACACACCATGATTTTCGCCCCAAAACAACGTCGTTTCGATGAACATTAGATAAAGTTATCTAAAGTAACTTTAGAAAAAACAAACCCAATTACAAAAATATATTGATTTCCGTCCCAAAACGATGTTTATTGCAGAATAAATGAACCCATAAATAAATAAAAATATATAAACCACAAATCAGTTTAAATAATTCACAAAATTCATATAAAGTGGAAATGAAAAATAATACGAATAAAATAATAGTAGCCGCCAAAAGTCAAAAATATTTACGCACTCTCCTGGCAAAAAAATTTAATTAACGCTTTTTAATAAAATAATTACGTATTTATTACAGTTTTAAAAATAATTATGGATCTATTGCACAATGTGACGCCTCTTTTGGGTTTCAATCAAGAGGCAATCACGCCTAATTTAGGTAATTTTATTTTTGAAAAACATCATAAGCCATCATTAATTTCAGACCACGAATAATAACCCAGAAGCTTATAACATTAATCATTAATTTTAATAATAATATCATTCTTCCTTAGAAATTTAGAATATTTATTTAATTATTTCCTTTATTTCTACAGATTTTTCAAATTGATTTTTTAGTTTAAATCACAAATCAAATCTTTATTTTGTTTTCCTTATTAATAATAATTTTTATTTTTATTTTGAATTTAAATCACAAACCAAATTTTTGTTATAATAAAAAAAATTATTATAAAAAAATTTAAATCACAAATCAAAATTTTATTTATTTATATTAAATCACAAATCCAGAATTCAGAGGCTTCTGAGTTTAACCGCTCTTACAATATCATTCTTGCAAATTAAAATTGTGTTTGTGAGATACAAAATATGTCAAATGAGATGTTATTGCGTAGATCTCGAAAAGATGTGGAATCAAATTTTTTTTTACCTGATTTGGATACTCAAGTCAAAAGTTATGACCTTTAGAAGTTTTATGATTAAATTAAGGGTTTGTTTTTTCTAAAGTTACTTTAGATAACTTTATCTAATGTTCATCGAAACGACGTCGTTTTGGGATGGAAATCATGGTCTTTTTGTAATTTTAATTTATTTCAGGGTTATAATAGTCTTTATCATTCTAATTTTTTAATTTTTCAACTCTAAAACGACGTCGTTTCGATAAACATTAAACAAAGTTGTCTAAAGTAACATCGGAAACTTTTTTCCGTTAAATTAATTTTTTTTTGGAAAAAAAAGTGGCACGTGTCAACACCTCATGAGAGACGCCCCATTTGGGCGTCTTCTCTTTAGGGTGAGACGCCTCACTGAGGCGTCACATGTGACGCCCAAAAGAGGCATCACAGTGTGCAATAGATCTGTAATTTTTTCCAAAACTGCAATAAATGCGTAATTATTTAATTAAAAAACATTATTTTAATTTTTTTGCCATTATAATCAATGTTATTAGAACTGGACCGGTTATTGACCCGGCCGAGGTATTGGGTCACTGGGTCAATGGTACACCGGTGGGTCACTGGTTGAACCGCATGAACCGGATATATATATATATATATAAATTTATATTTTATACTTAATTATATAATAAATATTTTGAATGGTGTCATCTAAAGAATAACCTGATGTAGTTTAGTGGTATTTGCTATGTTGTATATCCTCGATGGAAGGAGTTCGAATTCCATTGGATGCAATTTTTGAATTAATTCTCTAACTTAATAGTTATATAATAAATATATTAAATGGTGTATTTTATTCAAGTGATGATGGTGGTTTGAAGTGACGCTTCTCACTCCAATGTGTCGAGTTTAAATTCCACCTGTTGCGAAAAATTATTTTGTAGCTAATTTTAAAAACCCGGTTTTGAGTACAACTAGATACCAAAAACAATTTGTTTTGTGCTTAGCCCTCCCTTGTTACCAAAAATAAAATAAAATACAATTGAGAGTACAACTTTGCAAGTTGCAAATATAACTTAGAATAAGTAAACACTAGGCTGCTAAAATATGAATAAAATGTTTATTCAAACACGTTTGGTTCATTAGGCGTCACATGTATAATAAAATAGGCTAGTTCTCAGGTACATCTTGAACAACTTGTCTAAAGAAAACTCTTGTTTCTAAATCATTAGATTTTTTTTGCACCGTATAATGTTCTTGGACAGATCTTCATTCTTTGCCGTCTTGTTTCCCTTTTTTATGTTGCTATCAATCATTCACTTTTTCGAATAATTCTTTTGCAAAACGACACTAGAAGTGTGGGGGGAAAGTCAAACATGGAACAAACCTTTTTTATTTGGGGGAGGTGGGATCTGGGACGTGATTTAGGGTAAAAAAAAATTAAAAATTGCAATTCAAATAATAAATTACATAATTAATGTTATTTTTAAATATTTTATGCAATTAGTTGCATCTAGATTGTTGTGCATCAGTTTGCGAGCAATGTACCAGAACTTGACATGTAACACAGTGTTGTCGTTTGTGTAATATAAGGGTACCCTTAATGTTCCGTGGTTAGCTTTGGCGAGTTGCGCCTGATGCGCAATTAACAATTCACGAGAGCTTGTCATGTGATATATTGGTAGTTGCGTAAAATATTTGAAAATGACATTAATTTTATAATCTATTATTTAAACTGCAATTTTTAAAAATTTTAGCTGTGATTTAGTCACTACCCCTACTTGTATTCTAACAATCTAACCAATAAGCTGTTACAATTAATGATGTTAGAAAATGATATCTATCATATTCTGAATACAATTCAACTACATCAGTGGCTGACCTAGAATACAAATTTTTATGTTTGCACATTTATGTTAGAAATTTTTTTTAAAAAAGATTTCAAATGCATTAAAAAATAAAAAATATAAATAAGAAAAAAAAACTTCAACTTAACATAAAAAATTATTTTCAACACTTTTTTTTAATCAAGTTGATTTGTTATATAGCATTATAAAATATTCAATAAAATATATATCTTCCCACATATGTATCAAATCTGTCCATGCTACAACCTTGTTCTTTACATTAATCTTGGCATCATGAGAGATCAGTATTTCAACAATTTTCAACCAATCTTTGCTGGCAGCATAGTGTAAAGCAGTGCGACCCCCATTGTTTTTCAAATTAACATCAGCTCCTACCAAAAATGAAGAACAAGAACATTCAAGATACTTGATGAATCTTTCTGCATTGTATTACTTACAAATAAAAAATAAAAAAATTCATGTCCGCATGGGTGACCAAATAGGTCCGCCCCTGAACTACATAGAGTCATATATAAAGCGAATAAAAGCAGAAATTGTTACGAAAGGATAAACATGCATCTTCGAAGCTGTTATCTGAAAATAAGGATTAATGACAAAAACGGGAAGGAATAAGTCCTTTTTCCTATCTATACTTAGCTAATTGAACATTTAAAACTTCTAAAGTCGTTGCGAAGCTGGTGCAGTTGCTGTTTAATGTATCTAATAATTTGAATATTTTCAAGTCATTGCTGTTTCGGTTCTGTTGTTTGGACAATATTTGATAGAGTAACTTATATTTACAAATTCTTACAAATTAATTATCGAAAAGTACAAAAATAATTTGGGATATGATATTGTAATAATCAATTAGTATTATTATCAATGTTACTAGTTACTATCAATCAATATCATTCATTCTTAGATCAATTATCTTGATTCAATGATTATATTTATTTTCATCTTTCTATAGTTACGAGTCTTCATATTTTTACATTAAATATTAAGAATCATAACCATATAAAGATAAAAATAAATAAAAAGTATTAAATATGGAGAATCATAATCATATAAAGATAAAAATAACTATAAGTATTATATTAATATAATCTATCTAACAGTAAAATTAATTGATAGTAATATTGATTGATTGTTAGAATATCCTTTTCTTTAAAACAATTATTAAAATTGGAGAGTAGCGCACGCCTCATTTGAATTCTTAGAACAGGGGAGGGAGGGTCCCAGTAATCAAAGTTTCATTCACCACCTCAGGCATGTCTGTCGTACACTGCAATATGACGTTATCAAGTTTATTGAATTGGTCACTTAGTCATCGGTCGCTGTCCCTACATCCCACTAAAATCATTCATTGGTTACTGTCCCTACTTAATCACACTAATCTTTCATTGGTTTCTGTCCCCTACTTCATCACACTTTATTTTGGTTCTGATTTCTAATGTTTCATCTCTTATGTTCATCCTAGAGAATAGAACTGAAAACAAGAGTCCAGAATTAATATTGAACAGCAAACAGAAGAAGCAGATCGGCGCAAGAAAAGCAAAGGAAGATGGGTTTTTTGGAACTGCTGGTGGTGGCATCTATGCCAGTTGTTCAAGTCCTACTTATCAGTGCGTTGGGAGCTTTAATGGCAACTCAGTATTTCGATAATCTTCTTTCATCAGACTTTCGGAAATCCTTGAATAAGGTATCAGATGTGAACTAAATTAATTATAATGACTATACACTTGTGACTTGTTTAATGCTTCCCCATCCATTCCTTTCAACAAATACAACCCAAATACTTAAGCTAGTAAGTAATAACTATTAGAGTAGCATTAATTTGTTAGGATCCTGATTGTAACTATCACGGTTTGTTACCTTGTATATTAAAATAGATTAGCTTGATTTATGCTTTCTGTTCCTTAGTTTTAGCTGATTTCCTGATGTAAATAGATTAGCTTGATTTATGCTTTCTGTTCCTTAAGTTTAGCTGATTTCCTGATGTAACCAATTGTAAATCTTGGTCTATATAATAGACCCAATTTAATATATCATCAAGCTGCGAATGACAGCAACTTCTGTTATGGTATCAAGAGCTTGACGATCAACAAGCCTTCATTTTTTTTTTTCATCATGACTTCCGCACCTAAAACCTTCAAGGTTTCTGATTCTAAGTCACCCTTTTACCAACACCCATCTTGGATCATCGACAGTGGTGCATCCCAACACATGACGGGCACACTCTCCTATCTATCCAATGTGCATTCTATTTCTCCTTGTTCTGTGGGACTGCCGAATGGAGTTCATGATATTGCTACGCAATGTGGCAGCATTACTTTGGGCTCTTCTCTTCATCTCTCCAATGTTCTTTATGTCCCTTCGTTGGCTTGTAATTTGATTTCTGTATCTCAGCTTCTGCGCCAGTCTTGCTTGGCATTGTTTGTTAATTCTGTTTGTTTGATACAGGACCTAAAGCAGAAGAGGACGATTGGAACGGGTGTTGAACGAGAAGGGGTGTATATATTGTGTGCATCATCAGCTTCTGCTCATGTTGCCAGTACGTCAGATTCTGCAGCACTATGGCATCGTCGTCTAGGACATCCATCTTCCCGTTATTTATCTTTGTTACCTTTTATTTCCAATGCAAATAATTTGGCTCCTTGTGACGTTTGTTGTAAAGCCAAACAAACACGAAGTCCTTTTCCTATTAATAATAAACGTTGTTTACATCCTTTTGATTTACTTCACTGTGATATATGGGGGCCATATCATATGGCATCTACAACTGGTGCCCGCTATTTTTTAACTGTAGTCGATGATTTTAGTAGACATGTTTGGATTTTTTTGATACGCAATAAAACTGAAACTTCCACATGTTTACTTCGGTTTCTCCACTTGGTTCGCACCCAATATGATGCATCTGTTAAGCGAATTCAGAGTGATAATGGGACTGAATTTTTTGTCATCTGTAGTCCAAGAGGCTCTCTCATCCTACGGTATTCATCATCAATTATCATGCACTTACACCCCACAGCAAAATGGACGCGTTGAACGTCGTCATCGTCACATCCTCAACGTGGCTCGTGCTTTGCGTTTTGATGGTCACTTACCTATATCTCTTTGGGGAGAATGCATCTTGACCGCTGCTCACCTCATCAACAGGACACCGACTCCACTCCTTGGTGGTCAGTGTCCCTATGAAGTTTTGCATGGCACTCCACCAAAGTATGATCACTTACGGGTCTTTGGGAGTTTATGTTACACTACTGTTTTACCCAAACCACATGACAAGTTCGCTCCTCGCTCCCGTAAGTGTGTGTTTGTTGGCTACCCTTTCAACAAAAAAGGATGGAAGGTCATGGATATCTCCACTCATGAAATATTTGTTTCTCGTGATGTTTTATTTCATGAAACTATTTTTCCATTGGCTGCAACTTCATCTGCACCTTCTGTCCATGTACCGTCACCACAAGCTGTCTTCACCGATTATGATGTGGCACCTGTTACTGCTATTGATACTCCCACAGCGGAGCTTGATGACAGGGGGAGTTCGTCCTCCCCAGTTCCGGGTTCTATTACTTCATCCACGGATGTCCCTGGTTCACCGGTTCCGTTGACAGAACCCAACACTGCATCTGTGGCAGATATTCGTGAACAGCGTGCCAGACGTCCCCCATCTCATTTAAAGGATTATGTATGCAACACAATGACTACACCCTTTCCTCGTCTCTCCACTTCTCCAATCGACTCAGGTATTCAATATTCCATTGATCATTATGTTTCTAATGCATTATTTTCTTCGCACCATCAGATTTTTCTTGCCGCCGTGGATAGTAACCTGGAACCCAAATCATTTAAAGAGGCTATGCAATATCCTCATTGGCAGAAAGCCATGCAAGCCGAAATTGATGCATTGGAAGCCAATCATACTTGGCAAATTCAACCTCTCCCTTCTGGTAAGAAAGCTATTCCATGTAAGTGGGTGTACCGCATCAAGTACAATTCTGATGGAACCATTGAACGCTATAAAGCGCGTCTGGTTATTGCTGGGAACAATCAGATCGAAGGAGAAGATTACACTGAGACTTTTGCACCGGTGGCTAAAATGACAAGTGTGCGTACATTTTTATCTGTAGCTGTAGCTCGAAAATGGAGCATTTTTCAGCTGGATGTTCAAAATGCCTTTCTCCATGGCGATTTGGATGAAGAAGTCTTTATGCGTTTTCCTCCCGGTTTCTCCCAAACCAAGTCTGGTCACGCCTGTAAGCTTCAACGTTCACTTTATGGTCTCAAGCAATCCCCACGAAATTGGTTTGCTAAGCTTCGTAGTTCTCTCCTCAGTTTCGGCTTTGTTCAGTCTCGTGCTGATTATACGTTGTTCACTTACTCGACTGGTTCCCATTATGTTGCTATACTTGTCTATGTAGATGATATTTTGTTGGCAGGTAGTGATCCTTCTCTCTGTGACCGTGTCAAAGCTCATTTACAAACCTGGTTTAAAATCAAAGATCTTGGTCCCCTCAAGTATTTTCTTGGCATTGAATTTGCTCGAAGCAAGACCGGTTTGTTTCTTACTCAACGCAAATTTGCTTTGGATATTCTTAAGGAATGTGGACTTCAAAGTTGTAAACCGGTTGCTTATCCTATGGATCCCAATCACAAGCTTGCTCTTGCTGAAGGACCTCCGTTTGATGATCCTAAACGTTATAGACGTATTGTTGGCCGTCTTGTATATCTCACGATTACACGACCAGAACTTAGTTATGCAGTTCACACACTTTCTCAGTTTTTGCAGCATCCTATGCAGATACATTACGATGCGGCTATTCGTGTTCTTCGGTACATTAAGTCCAATCCTGGCCAAGGACTCCTTCTTCGATCTGACAGTGATCTTCTTCTTCGTGCCTATTGTGATTCGGATTGGGCTAGTTGTCCCTTGACTCGAAAATCAGTCACTGGTTATTTTGTTACTCTTGGACATTCTCCTATTTCTTGGAAAACCAAGAAGCAAAACACAATATCCCGCTCCTCTGCTGAAGCTGAATACCGTGCCATGGCAGCTGCGACTTCTGAGCTTATTTGGTTAAAGTCTTTTCTCAGCTCTCTTGATATTCCTCATGCAGCCCCTATGCAACTGTTTTGTGACAGTCAGTCTGCTATTCATATTGCTTCTAATCCAGTGTTCCATGAGCGTACCAAGCATATCGAGTTAGATTGCCATTTTGTTCGGGACTATCTTCTCAGCAAGACTATTTCTACTCAACATATCCCCACTAGTTCTCAACCCGCAGATATTATGACCAAAGCACTTGGATCCAAACAATTCGATTTTTTGACTTCCAAGTTGGGCATCTCCTCCCTCCATGCTCCACCTTGAGGGGGAGTATTAGAGTAGCATTAATTTGTTAGGATCCTGATTGTAACTATCACGGTTTGTTACCTTGTATATTAAAATAGATTAGCTTGATTTATGCTTTCTGTTCCTTAGTTTTAGCTGATTTCCTGATGTAAATAGATTAGCTTGATTTATGCTTTCTGTTCCTTAAGTTTAGCTGATTTCCTGATGTAAATAGATTAGCTTGATTTATGCTTTCTGTTCCTTAAGTTTAGCTGATTTCCTGATGTAACCAATTGTAAATCTTGGTCTATATAATAGACCCAATTTAATATATCATCAAGCTGCGAATGACAGCAACTTCTGTTAATAACACTCCACACATGATTCTAATCCAATGGTAACCTTTTCTTTGTTTCGTTTTTTTTTTTTTTTTTTTTGGTTACCTGTTTTGCAGGTTGTCTTCCTCGTATTCACTCCTTCACTTGTGTTTGCCAGTTTTGCCAAGAGTGTTTCACTTGAAGATATGATATCATGGTACGCATTGATTAATTTTCCACTCTAGAAACTTGGCATGACTTTGTGCCTTTTTTATATATGTATATTTTGGAGCTTTTTTTTTTCTTCATAAAATGCCTATCAAAACTTAATGAAAAAGGGCATTGGAAAGGAAAGAGTTTCTGTTTGATTCCTACATGCCTTCTTTGCGAGGGGTGTAGAATTTTTCTGCATGACCCGTCCCGCACTTCGGATTAGTCTCATGACTAGTTCAAAAAGTTGAAGCTTTGAATATAGGGGAACAAGTCTACCCGACTTAAAGAGATAATTAAGATATGTTTCCAAAAAAAAAAAAAAAACTTAATGAAAAAGCTTACGGAACAGAACAACACGGTTTTGTAGTTACATAATACATGAGCATCCTCGTTGAGGCAGAATTAAGAATGAACTTTGAGCTTTGCATTTGATCATATTGCCTGCAAGGCTAGAACCCTTTATTTGTTATCCTAAACGTTGAGAGCTATTGCACAAAAATTAAATCCCAATGAACCAAGGTGATTTTGAACCTGTGGCCATTGCTGCTTGATCGTTAAAGTGGGCTGCTACATGTCTAAAACAAAGCTTGTACGAAGCAAGGCCTTGTATTTAGGTTCAATTGGAGTAGAGTACAAGAAGAGAGAAAGGATATAAATTTCTGGACGCAAAAGGGCATTCTTTCTTTTTTTTAATTGTTTGTGTAAGCCATATCTTGTTTACTCATCTATGCAGGTGGTTTATGCCCGTTAACGTTGGACTTACATTCTTAATTGGAGGGATTCTCGGATGGATACTTGTTAAACTACTAAAGCCTAACTTGAAAGTGGAAGGTCTTATTATTGCTGCATGTTCATCAGGTAGCATATCATCATAATTATAGTATGCTTGGCAAGAGTAAAATTGAAAGGAATGGAGAAAATGGAGGTGGGAAAATTGACAATGTGTTTAGACATGGATGCATGCCTTGATACATTGTAAAATTTATCTCTATCCTCATTCAATCCTTCCATTTTCTCTCCTTCCAACACCTCTCTTAATTTTCTTAGAAAACCTTTATCGAAAGTCTTCTTATTTCATGAGTGCTTGTGTTAATCAGGAAATATGGGTAATCTTCCTCTTGTAATTATACCTGCAATATGTGATGAGAAAGGAGGCCCATTTGGTGCGCGTGATGTTTGCCACAATAATGCCTTCTCTTATGCATCTTTCTCTATGGCGGTAAGGCATCCTAATTATACTTAAAAGGTATTTTGCTTTTAGCATATTGTGTACCTTATTATCTCTTCTTGTTTTGTTAATTGTAGCTTGGTGGCATCTTCATCTGGACCTATACTTATCAGATCATGCGAAGCAGTTCTATGAGATTTAAGGCACTTGAGGCTAACAAAGATCTTGATCCAACTGCAGAAACTCTCCTTCCCAAGGAAAAGGAAAACGAAAACACAGTGTCAGAATTGCCGCCATCGAATTATATTGGAGACACTGAATACCAAATTGTAAGATCCCAGGCACTAGACTATGGCTATACTTGTTAATTAAAATAAGTTTGTACTTGCTTAGCACAAGAAAAAATGTGGGAAGATTAAAATGAAGTGCAAATCATTTACTCTTCACCCCCACAAAATTAGACTTTATGAAATTGAGTATCCACACAATCTACCAATTAACAAATTAACAATGATTGAAAAGTATAATCCTTCTATCCCACTGTATTAAGTCTCTTTTTTTTTTTCACCTACTAAAAGCATATAGCCCAATAGCCCATATCTATATCAAACATTCTCAACCATTTACTAGATTATAAAATGGATATGGATCTAAATTTTCAGATTGTGGACCAAGATCAGTCCAGTGTATCCAAAAAGGGGAAAGAATCGTATTGGCATAGAATGGTAGAAGTTCTGAGCGAGCTTCTGACAGAACTAATGTCACCCCCAGCACTTGCTTCAGTGAGTTCCTTTCTTTCCTTTTCTTTGTCTTTGCTTTGTTAGGTTTTGTATCTTGGTTTTTAGTTTCTAGTTCCTACTACTACTTCAATGCAATTTGACATTCAACTACTTCCTTATTCCATGATCAGTTTTTTGGTTTCCTATTTGGTGCGGTTGCATGGCTAAGGAACCTAATAATTGGAGACAATGCTCCTCTGAGAGTAATCCAAGACTCGCTTCAATTACTTGGGTATGTTCCTTTGCTTATAAAACCAAGTTCTTCTCCACTGTCTATTTCTTTTCAAACCACACAGTTATCTGACTGAACTTATTATTGTTTTGCAGGAATGGGACAATTCCTTGCATCACCCTTTTGCTTGGTGGTAATCTCACTCAAGGTATCAAGACATTATCTGCCACAAATTTATCAATTCAGGAAAAAAAAAATGTCAAGAATTATAATATAAATTGATTTATATGCCATGCTTCCTCTAATAAAAATAATTTTCATGTTTCAAATGGTAAATTATCCACACTTGAATCCTATAAACCTTTTAACATGAGGTGTATTCAAGAATAATACAATATAAAATTGTATATGTAATTTTATCTAAGAGCTTAAATTTTTGGGGTGAATTGATTAATGACAAAATGGTTTTGTTAACTTTGTCCTAAATTGCAGGCTTGAAATCATCAACTGTCAAACCATTGACCCTCATCTGCATCATCATAGCTCGACTTTTCTTACTACCTGTTATTGGATTGTTTATTGTAAAAGCAGCAGCAAATTTGGGCTTACTCCCCGTGGATCCTTTGTTTCAGTACGTGCTGGTGATGCAGTATGCCATGCCACCAGCAATGAATATTAGTAAGTGATAGATTCCATGAATGCTTTTAATTGAAGCACTTTACTTGTTCTTTCATTAGGCATAGATACTTTGTTGCTAACTTTAAAATTCAATTATATTATGCAGGTACCATGGCTCAGCTTTTTGATGTAGGAAATGAAGAGTGTTCAGTTATCCTTTTGTGGACATATGGTGCTGCAGCTATAGCACTCACTGCTTGGTCAACATTCCTCTTGTGGGTATTGTCTTAAGATTTTAGAGAGAAAAGGCATTGCTTGCTCTCATATCAACCCATGCCAGAAAATAAAGAAGTTAGGAGACTGACATGATTGGCTTTCATGTCTCAACAAAAGTCATATTAGGTGTTAAAAGTTAATTGATGTTTTTATGAAGTCCTCCCTGAAAAAAAGAAAAAAAAAAAAAGTTCATTTTGATTCTTTGTATTTTTTATTTATTTTTAGTTCAACCCTTTCGTATACTATAAATGCATCATCCATTGTTTGCAAGTTTACTGTGAGGTTACTTCTTTTTTTCATTCTCCCTCAAAAAGAAAAGGTTGATATACATCTAGTACTGCAAATTTTCGGATTTGATTATTTTAAAGTGAGGGTGCAATTTAGAGAAAAGATAAAATTTTAGCCATTGATTAAAAAATTTGCTATTGAAATTGTGATAATATATATATATATATATATATAATAAAATTATTAATATCTTATTTCTGTATTTGTCAATCAACAGTTATATACTAGTTAAAAATAAAATTTTATATAAAATTGAAAGGGAATAAAAAATTATAAAATATAAAATTATAACGTAATAAAAACGTAAAAGCACTAGAAATATTGGTAAAAATACTTTTGATGAAAAAAATTATAAAAGCATAATGATAAATTAAGATTTTAATTATCATCATTTTAAAAGAATGAAATTGTAATATTTATTTCGCTGACAGAATAAGTGCGGGAGGTAATAAGCTTATTTATAATATAATTATTTTGAAAATTTCAATTAATTATGCAACTATGGTTAGGTTTGATATAATTGATGTAATCAATTTTCTTGCTTTCATTTACTTTCATTTATGGGTTTTATAAGAGTTATGTTGTAGAAAAAGTGATTGTGTTATGTTATAGAGATTCGTTTTGCATGCTGGAGTTTTTTTTTTTTTTTTTTTTCAAAAATTGCGGGTCCCACAAAATATTGTGTGTGTAGAAAAATTGTTGTGGTCATGTTAAATGATAGATGCAAAACCCTTCATTATAGTTGTTAAAAAAGTTTTAGCAGGCTTTTATTTATAGTAATATAATAAGGGGAAGATTATATTTATAAATTTTTTGTTTACAAACTACATTAAGTATGATTGGTCATATTTCAATCAAGAGTGTATGACCGGTCATACTTAGTGTAATTTATAAAAAAGTTTGTAAAGAGATCTTTCTCCATGTAATAAAGATTTAGAGTGATAGTCTTTTAATGTACGCTTTTCTTCCATCTAAGAGGTGGCTCCACGGAAATTTCTTTGTGTCACGGATGCTGTGTAAATTCGGTGCATCTTTTATTTATATTGTGATAAGTGTCTTACTTTTATTAAATCAATAATAAATAATTTATTTTAAAATTAGGAGAAAGAGAATGATTTAATATAAAGTAAGACACATGTCATAATATGAGTGGGAGATAAACTGAGTTTTACATCTATAATACTAAGGTAGTGTTTGGTTGAAGGTTTATTTTAGGATTGATGGAAAAGTGTAGGTGGATATTGAAAAATACCACGTTTGGTTCAGGTTTTTACAAGAAATACCAGACAAATAGGATAGATGGAAAAATGACTTTTGTGTTGATTTTTGGATGAAATTCACTATTACAGAATACCACTTGAGATGTGGTATTGTGAGATGACTGGGGAAGTGAAAAAACAGGTGCAAAGTTTCTCCCGAACATAGATTTTGCATATTTAAATAAATTTCCCTGGTAATATTTGGGTCAACCAAACAACTTTTTTTACATTTTCCTATCAAACTCACTTTCCAACCATTTTCCTATCAATTACATTTTCCTAGTAAAAGAAAATTTCTCCCGAACCAAACACTAGCTAAAGATATTCTCGTGGCTCCACTGTTGAAAATCATCTCTTTTTGGCTTTTTGCTGCTTTATTCCCAATCAATTTTTTTTTTAATTTATTGCTAGTTTCCTTTTTTTTGATCTATTTTCAAATTTTAATTTCCTATCATTTCCCTATTTTTTTCATGGCAGTATTTTTAATTTTAAATGAGATAAAGTATCATATGTAATTAATTAATAAGTAATTACAATAATTTACATCAATTACCTTCAACACACATTAAAAAAAAACATCATACAAGCTAGTATAATTATAAATTAGAGTAAGACAGAATTGGACGAAACTGAACATTGATGGTGCAGTCTTTAAAAACAAAGCAACTTGTGGTGGCCTCATTCATAATCACTATGGCAAGTAGATTGGTAGTTTTCAAGCTTTTATTAGGTGCAGCTCGCCCCTCCAAACTAAACTATGGGTTATTCTTCATGGCCTAGACCCTAGAGTATCCTTGGTATTTTGGTTCATCGAAAGTGACTCCTATCAGACTATTAATTTGCTTATCTCTCTTAGTAATGAAGCTCGAAAACTGTCTTTCGTAGCTAGGATTCAAACGTGGCTTGACAAGAATTGAAAGATTGACCTCCTCCTTACTAATAGAGAAAGGAATTTTTGTACTAATTGACTTGCCAAGAATGCCTTAGCCAAGACTTGAGGCACTTACTACCTGTCTTCACCCCTTGAAGAATTAAAGAACCTGATGATTTCTGATCCAAATATGCAGCCTTCTAGTCCTTCGTGCGAAATCCTGACTGATGGAGAGCTGTTGATGTTTTTTCCTTTTGTCTCTTTATGTTCTGTTCTTTCTTTTGTTGTCTTTGTTGTTTTTCTTTCTAGTTGCACCTTTATTGTACTAAAAAAAATAAAAATAGAGTATGATAACAATATAACATCTTTATGTATTTATTTTTCTTCTTCTTTTTTCTATCAAATATAAAGGTAGAATATTCTTACTATCAATTTTTTCTACTTTTACTCTAATCATCATCGAATTATAGAAAAAGTTGAATGAAGAGAAAAAAAACTTTTAAATCCAATGATGATTATAGTAATAGTGAAAGAGTAATAAAAAAATTTGTAATAAGAATATCCTATTTCTCAAATATATAACTTTTGGATTTATTTTTCTTACTTTAATTTCCGTTTACGTCTAACACTCCTTTCCTTATCGGTTATAAATAAAACCTGTTACGCAATTCTTAATTTTGTTTAATCAATTTTCTATCAATTCCTGATTCTTATGTTTTAGTTATCTGCTTAATTAAATATTAAATTATTATGTATAAGATTCTACATACATTGGTCATATTAAATTATTAATTTATCTTCTTTCAAATTTAAATTCTTTTAATGAATTGTGCATAGTTTTTTTTATAATTTTAAATATTAAATATTCTTCTGTTAATCAATATCTTTTAGATTTTAATTTAAATTAATTATTACATATTCCTTAAAATCGGGAACATTGTTTAGTTAAGTAACATACAAAATCATCAATCAATCACGATTCAGTTATAAAAATCAAAAACATAATAAGTTGAGACAAGATGAAATTGAAATGGTTCTGACCTGGCGAGAAATGAATGGGCAAGCTCATAAAAATAAAACATAAAAACGTTCAACGTCATGTGACGAAGGATTGTGTGTGTTTGTTTGAAAAGTCCAATATGGGGGAAGTGGAATCGGCGATCCTAACATAACATAACATTATTGCAGGATACGATTCCGTCCCTTTTAGTTTTCGTTTGCAAATTGCAAATTGCAATCCACCATAAAACGCAGATGAGATTTCGCGTTTCAAACGCTCTGCGATCACTCATTGTGGTTTTCTTCATATTGAGCTTCATCGTTGCTGATGCATACACCTCACAATCCCAACAACTATCGCTTCTCAATAATGGATTCTCTTCTTCATCTCTTCTCTCTCTTCCACCTTCAGTTCCGAATTCCTTGGTCAGAAAACCAGCTACTGCACTCATCGCTGCCCTAGATGGAACTATTTATTTGGTTGAAAGTTCTTCTGGAAGGGTCATTTGGTCATTTCCAACTGGATCCCCAATCTACCATTCATATCAAGCACCAATCCTCAACAACAACAACCCTAATAACAATTCATCTGGACCTATTAGCGGTCTCATCGAATGCGGTGATGACTGGGAATTAATTGTGCATGACTCGCACTTTGGTAAAACGGTATTGTTATTTTGTCGTTTAGCATTTCAATTCCATTTGTCGTTGTTATGTTGCATCAATACTCAGTGCTTGCTTTTTTAAACTCAAGCTTCTTCTTTTTTGCTATTTTGGATGAACGAAATTGTTGCTATCTGTTCAGGAGTTTCATCATTCCTCATTTTGAAGAATGGCATCAGTGTACGTCTTACAATCTTGTTCGTGTGTAATATGCATTTCCTTTTTGCTAGGAATAGAGATGTTTTTGTAGTTTACCAAAATTGTAAGTACTGAATCGAGTGACAGAGAGATAATGTTGTAGTTGTGAGAGTTCTTCTGGGAATGGTAATATAGGTCTTGTGGGTATGTTTGTTGTGAGACATGCTGTAGTTGTTTGTTCGTGTCCAAAATGGAACTTTACCTTCTATTGGTATTCTGCTTTGCTCAAATTATTTTCCTATCATTGTGATGCTTGTTTGCGTCAATACTTACTGCAATGTATGATTAATAAGAAGTAATGTTAAAGCTTCTTTTGATGACAGACTTGATGTTCCCTTGATTGGTTTTTTCATGCCTGCAGCCACTCCAACAATCTATTGCAGATTATGTTGCTTTTACACCTACCATGACAACAGATGGTGCAGTTATAGTTGGATCCAAAATAAGCACTATGTTTGAAGTAGATGCTAAAACTGGAAGACTCGTTCGAAGCTATCCTGCTGCTGATGTTGATAATACTTTAACTGTAGTGTGGAGTGATGACGGGCAGAGTGTTACTAATGTCCTCAGTACAAAGAGTAATGTGCTTGCTGATCCTGCAAAGCTAAATACTCCTGAATTTATAATCAAGATAGTCAGGACAGATTACTTTTTAAAATCTGTCGGTCCCAAATCAGGAATGGTTTTGTGGACTATGGCTGTGGCTGAATTTAAGGCTGTATTACTTTGCCAACATAATGAAAATCCATCTGGCAGTGCTTCATTTGATGCAGAGGATGAGTATGCTTTTGACAGTGGCTTCGATTTTGCTATGCCATATGCATGTCGAGACAGAAAACTAAAAGAAGTCTATCGCCAACGAAAGAATTTTCTGTTTGAACCTGCTAACCTGGAAAGATGGGATAATCGAGACCGAATGCGTACTTCAGATCTGATGCTTCCATCACAGCCTAATATTGATAGATTTGTCCCTGGTCATGATGGTAATATTAATCATAAGATGCTTCCTGTGCTCTCTTTGCAGCCAAAAATTGGCTTTTATGACTCTAACGATAGAGCAGTTGTGCTCCATCAGCCTCATATGAAGATCACTTCACCAGGGAAAGTTGATCCAAATAGGGTTCAAAAAATCAGCTATGACCCCAACGATAGTGCAGCTGTGCTTCATCTTCCTAGTATGGAGATCACTTCACCAGGGAAAGTTGGTCCAAACAGGGTGATTGATTGGTCGACAGCACTACTTGTTTTATTGTTTATGGTCTTTTTCTTTGGGTTTTTTATCTTGTACCAGCCTCTAGTGGTTAAAATTCAACTTATATTGAAGGACCAAAACAGTGAGCCAGATTTAAAAAGTTTACCTCCTAAAAAAAAGAGAGCACGTAAGTCAGGAAAGAACAACATCATTGTTGACAAACAGGATAAGCATCTATCATCAGCTGAGGAGGATATACTTACACATAAGGAAACTAACAGTGAAGCATGGTTGCACTTTAATAAAGTTGATGGACGAAGGATCGGTAAACTATTTGTATCCAATAAAGAAATCGCTAAGGGAAGCAATGGTACCATTGTCCTCGAAGGGCTATATGAAGGGCGGGCAGTTGCTGTCAAACGTCTTGTCCAGACTCATCATGATGTAGCCCATAAAGAAATCCAAAATCTCATTGCTTCTGACTGTCATCCAAATATTGTCAGATGGTATGGGGTGGAATATGATCACGATTTTGTGTACCTTGCTCTGGAGCGTTGTTCATGCAATTTGGATGATTTGATTCATATTTACTCTGATATATCAGAAAACCCAGTGTTTGGCAAGGACCAAGCTTCTAATTTCTTTATAAAGGCTCAGATGGAGACAGGGAGGGATGATATGCAATATCTTTGGAAAGCAAATGGCTATCCATCACCTCTATTACTGAAAATGATGAGGTTAGTAAAACAATATCTTGATTTGATGAAATATTACTGGACATAATATATGGGATTTACAGTTGTCACATTTCCTTGATTAAAAAAAAATGTCAAATTCAAGCTATTGAACCTCTCGAAATTCTTATGTAAAGTTTGTATTATATGCTTGATGGAACTCTCCTGATTTTGCAAACAAGTGGATGCATGGATGATTGTTTTAGTTCCCATCAATTAAAATATTTTGAGATCAGAAATAGAAGCAAAGGTTTTATATGGTAGTTTGGTTTTAGGCTAAGAAAATCTACCTTGTTAAGGTCGTTGTGGAGGAGCATTGCTGCAAATAAGTATAGACAACTTCTATGAAAGAAAAGGATGGGTGATAAAAGGGAATTCTGGATCCAAGGTAGTCGCTTCAATGAAGAGAAGATGAGATGATTTTCTAGAATAATTTGTAATAGAAGAATCTAAGAGGACAAGAATGATAGAAGGAAGACATAATTGGAGGTAAAAAGATACGGTAGCAAAAAGGGTGGTGGAAAGAATAGCAGTGAATAAAAAATAATGATTAAGAATACTCACAAAGGATCCTGTTTAATTTCCCTTAAGGACTCGTTTAGTTGAGCCAAGCCATTGAAGATAGATAATTGTCTTCATTTAGTGATAGCTCAAACGTGGATGTCCATTTTCTATGTTTTTATTTTATACTATTTGTTTCTTTTTTGTTGACGTCATCTTGACTTTCACTTGTATATTGCAACACAGGGATGTAGTTTCTGGTCTTGTTCATTTGCATGAACTAGGAATAATCCATCGGGATTTGAAACCCCAAAATGTTTTGATAATCAAGGAAAGATCATTATGTGCAAAGCTTTCTGATATGGGGATTAGCAAACGCCTTCTTGGAGATATGTCTTCTTTGGATCATAGTGCTACTGGTAAGTAGAAGAATTTGTGTGTTTTTTTTAGCATGGGTCATGTGAATTACAAGTCATGTCTAGCATGAGATGGGCCTATCCTGATATCATATTGGTGATCTATATCTATGAGTCTCGTTCCCTGTAATTTTTCTCTCATCTTTTTCTTTCTTTCTGTGTGGGTGGTATGTTTTAGCACATGTTTGGTTTTGCTTAATTTAAAACAGCTTTTCAGCCACAAATTCTCTCGTTAAAATTATATGCCTTTCTGAACATAATATGCTAATCCAAAAAACGCATTAGTCTAATCCAGTTCATTATTCATAATCTTCCAATAAGTTTTTATGACTTAATTGCAGGCTGTGGCAGTTCAGGTTGGCAAGCACCAGAGCAGCTTGTTCAAGGACGCCAAACAAGGGCAGTAGATTTATTTAGTTTAGGTTGTGTCCTCTTTTTCTGCATGACTGCAGGAAGACATCCATTTGGAGAACGTCTTGAGCGTGATTTCAATATTGTGAAAAATCAAAAGGATCTTTTCTTAGTGGAGTTCATTCCTGAAGCTGAGGATCTTATTTCTTGTTTATTAAACCCTGACCCTGATCTAAGGTATATCATTCTCATTCATTGTGATTCTTAGGAGAATGGAAATATATACTCTCATATCTTCATTATTAGTTTGCATCTTGTTATAACTGAATTGTTATGTAGTATTAAATGATGTATTCACATATGAAATGTTATTGCCCCTGAAATCCAGCTTTTGAGTTTGCTAGGTGCTATCCATGTAAAATATGTCAATTGAGATTTTTTCTGTAACATTCAAAGTTCAAATCAACATGATGTTTATGGATAATTTAATGGAAGAGCATTATCCTATTTTGATGATTCTGCAATGATCAATATTTTGTATTTGAATTTTTTAAATATCTGCTGGGTCAGAATGGGTGAAAAGGAAATGATATGTTTTATGAAATTTTCATGAATAAGAATGGTTGTGACGCAATTAGACATGGAGGTATTCATCCTGAATGAACTGCGGAAAATAGTTAATCAGGTTGTTGTGGACCTAATGCTATCTTTGTTTCTGGTACATATTTACATTGATCTGCATGAATTCTGTTGAAAACCTCTGTTTAATGGCAGGATCTGAGAAAAATATTTTATATCCCTTGGAAGTTATCAATGGGATTAAGTTGCATGTGATTGCCAAATTGATAAATCTGAGATTTGATTGCATAAATTATTATCAGAGGGACTGTATGATAGCTCTCGATGATTAGAGGGACTGGATGAATATATTTGTGTTTTTGCTTGTCTGGTTGCAAGCAAATTTCATTGAAGAAATTATTTCATTTATTATCAGGCCAAAGGCAATTGAAGTATTGCATCATCCTCTTTTTTGGAGTTCTGACAAGAGGCTTTCATTTCTCCGCGACACCAGTGATAGGGTGGAACTTGAAGATAGAGAGACTAATTCTGATCTATTGAAGGCATTAGAAAGCATTGCTCCTGTGGCTTTAGGTTCAAAATGGGATGAAAAGATGGAACAAGCTTTCATTACTAACATTGGTCATTACAGGCGGTATAAATTTGACAGTGTTCGAGACTTGTTGAGGGTCATGAGAAACAAGCTAAATCATTATAGAGAATTGCCTCAGGAAATCCAGGTTTTTTCTTCGACTAGCATTTTCACAAGATGATTCTTTTTTTCTGTGTTTGAGAATTAGGTCTGTCTAAGAAAGTTGAATCCCATCATCCTCTATCATGTTTAACAGCCCAATTCCGTTTTAAGTAGTGTGCCAAATTAGGAAGAATTGATTATCAAGTTTTCCAAGGTGTCCATAACAGAAGTGAAAAAATATAGCTTCTCCTGCTCACAATCAATGACTGGTGGGGTCAATTTCATATTCAAAATATATCCCTAATATCAATTATGCCAAGTGGATTCCTGAATATTTTATGTATTTATTTTAGTAATTTTTTGCTTTGCAATATCCAAACAAATTATTTTCTTCTTTCACAATCAGTTCTTAGAAAAAATTTCTCCAATATCTAAACCATGCCCTTTCGATTTTTTTTTTACCAAAACAATACATGTCCACTTGAGCTTTTAATTTCTTTATAGTCGTATTTTCCTTGATTGTGCTTGACTCTGATTAATTTTGCATAATGAAGTTAATTGAAATCAATCATATGAATTTCTGAGAGATGATCCATATTTTATTTTCTGGCGAAAGCTTTTTATATGAAAAGTCAAAATGCATCTTTGTTAGTGGATGATATAATCCTCTAAGAGCATAAGCTTTTAGGATACTATATATTAACAAATGGTAATAGCTCTTGAATTAGCCAGACGTCTTTAGACATGTAAGCTTTCTACGTGGACATGTATGGCTTATAATTTCTTGCTGGCTTATCAGGAACTAGTAGGACCTGTTCCAGAAGGATTCAATGACTACTTTGCAAGTCGCTTCCCCAGGCTCTTGATTGAAGTATACAAAGTTATATGCATATATTGCAAGGACGATGAATGTTTTCAAAGGTATTTCAGAGACAATGACTAGTGCTTTATCCTTTTTTCGGATGGCTTGAGAATTATCGAAAAGAAAAGAACGGTTGTTTGCGCATTGGAGCTATTTATAACCTCAACCGGCAGGTTTTTCAAGGCGTGTAACATATTGTACATATGTCGCCACTCGATACTGGTTAATCTAACGCAATGTTACAATGGAAAACCATTTGTATAATCTCTAGTGTTCAGAGGAGTGAACTAAATGTATAGTAATATATTTTACAAGGCTGGCTAGGACCCTTGAACGATACAATATCTTTTTTCCTTTAACCCTCTTAGCCATATAGAATTGTAAAATTCAATGTGTCAGAATTTCTCATATATGTGACCTAGTTACCAAGCTCATGTAATATCGGTTGCTATGCTACAAGGAGGAGATGGAAGCCCGCATTTTGTCTCTTGCATTTTAACCAAAATTAGACATGATTATGACAATCTCAAAGGTATACCCTATTTGATTTTTCATTTGATTTCGTTATGTCGTATGTAATCTTCAGAAATCGTTAGGAACAAAAGTTGCAACGCCTCCCTGTTCCCTACACTCCTACATTACGGTCCGTTCCAAATAGACATTTCCTATACATATGTATGTACTTAAAAAGTATAAAAAAAAAAATATACTAGTAGTTGCAATAGGGATGGCGGGTGATGCGGACAAAGTTGGCATCAGATGCTAGAAAATGATGTGGAGGAAATAGGCAAACAGTTGTTCAGGCTTCATTAGCACAATAACTTCTGTATGAAGATGACTAAGCATATCCTTTATTGTAGTTGATGGAAGATCCTCCCTCACTGCTTCTGTAGGACATCCTCTCCATTTTCCTTCTCTTGGAACGGTTCTTAACGGTCTCTTCTTTTTCATCAACAAATGAAAGGAAAGTCCGTAGATGTGAAGATCCAGATCCTGATCCTTCTGGAGACTCAAGCTCGTCTGAATAGTGCTTGATGTACTGCCTTATTATCTGTATAATATATATGAAGAGAGCAAGCAAACAGGCACACCCACAGATTACATAGAGCCCCCAAAAACTTCTAAGTTCTAGTCTTTCCACTTCAAGCTTTGCACCTTGTGACAAACAAGCACTACTCAAAAGCCATTTGTCATGGATCCTTTGTAAATCTCCATTCTCTGCCATTTCCAAAATGGCTGTTGACAGGTCAACTGCTAATGGCGAGTCTCGTGGAAAGGCCTGAAGAAAAATGAAAGCATTAAGACATACTACCATAAGCTGACAACTTCAAATAAGGGGACCAACAATTAAGCGTGGTGTATTAAACTTAAACTAATATGTTGGAAGGTAATTTCCTCTTAACTTTTTTACCCCGCTTAAGAATAAAAGGTTGAATTCATTCCATAGATTAAGAATATGTTCTTGAGAAAAATAATCAAATAAAGCTTACTATACATAAAGAAAATCACATCTTTGTTTCTCCTCCTCATATATCACTCGTGTATGTGCTGTTGATGTTCTATGATTACATGATTCTACAAATTATACAATGTACTAGCGGATTCTTGAGTTAGCCTAGGGAAGCTGCTGTCTTTTTATAATCATGCATGACAGGAAGTACTGAAGAATTCAAAGAAGATTAGAAACAGCTAGGATGATATTTCTAATATATGCAAGTGTTATTATATGTGTTTTGCTATCATTTGCCTTTAGGATACATGTTAACAAATTAAAATTAGAAACCATTTAACACAATATATAAAAAACACTCCAAGCTTTTAATGTTCATTAGGAGTTAGGTATGATTTGGATGTAATGTCCTCTCTGCATTTAATATGGCTGTAATTGTATCATTCCAAGCACCCAAAACCCACCAATGCTTTCATGTTTAGCAGAGAATTAGTGTACTGGACAACATGAGCTGCAGAATAATGTATTGACCAGAATACTTGACAAAAAAAATGCATCTACTCTTTCTTCTTAGAAAAGGAAAAGGAAAAAGACAATAAGTGACGGTATCCAAAGTATGTAAAGATCAAGTAATAAAAAGAAAACTAGGACCATCACAAAGGAGATACTTACAAATCCCCAACCGTTTCTGGTGAACTCTTGACCTACAATAGTAAAATCACACCGGCTTGATAGGAAGAGATCCATGTAGGCACGTTCATCAACGTAAGCAGCAACACCACCATCTTGGGGACCCTTTTTCAGTGCTTTAGCAGATTCTTCTGGTGTTTTCAGTGGAACAAGCCTGGACTCATCAATGCCAAGTTCCTGAACTAAATAATTTCTAACAAAAGAAGCCTGTGTGTACCCAATAGGATCTTTACTATTTACTAAACTTTCAATGCCTTTGATGGGTGAAGAAAGCTGTTGCACTGTGAGGATTGAGGTTAGGCTTGCTGTGTAACTTGAGGTAATTATAAGAACTACAAATAACCATATAATCAGCACAAAGCGACCAAGTGTGCTCACTGTATTTTCCTCTGCGTAGTATAGAAAAAAGCAACTTGATTAATCAAAGGGAAGCTACCACTTGGACCATAGTTGTCGCAGAAGACAAATTAAGAACTGGTACTTACTGTGGGAAAAGAACATAGTTGAAAAACTAAACCTGCCAGATACAACACAAACAAAAGTTATATACAAAACCAAAGCTATATACAAGCAAATATAGTAGGAAAATTGCAGCCTCGATGTAATTATTGCATGCATCATTAACACAGGTTGTGTTCTAAAATGGTTCAATATGGTGAGCCATGGGGAAAAGGGGAAGATACCAGATTTCCTTACCATAAAATAGTAACTAGTTGTCTTTTGGGTGGACCTCTAAAATCATCATTCACCCTATGCTCCAAAATCCAAATAACAGCTCCGACTACTATGAAAGAGACAGCTGTGACAAACCACAAAGTTGGCGTAAATGGAGACAAAAAGGCCAAAGCACTGGATTCTGCCTTCTTAACTGGTGCTACTACCACTAGACCAGACTCAATATATGGCTGAGTAAAATCCACCATTCTTGTTCTTTCTGTAGTAATTGCAATGTCACCTACAGCACCATCAAATTCCTGTATGGGGAAAAGAAAACTGGTCTCAGAAGAAGATTTCCATAAAAAAAATCCAAACCACACAAAATATCATTGGTATGATACTCACACCCGTTGTGATGAGACGGACAAGCTCAGTCAAACTAGGATTGTTACGACCATCCCCGTATGGGACAAACTTATAGGGGACAGCATAAGGCAACAAGTTCAAAGCAGAAAGAAATACATCAATGCAGAATCCCTCAAATGAATCAGCAGTGCCTTGTACATGTGAGACAAATTCATGGTAACTAACACTTATTGGTACTCCAATTTTTAAGAGCCTTGCATTGTTTGGAAAAACCCAACCACGAGGCTTCTGGTCTGTGTCTCCAGGCCAAATCACAGGGAACACCTTTTGACTTATCTTAGAATGATTGGCTGGTTTGGAATAAAGAGCTTCTGGAGGAACAACTGATAATCCAGAGTAATTAGACCAATAACCAATCCTCCGAGACCCAGTTCCAATCACATTGATGATATCATATGCAGGGTTCACAAGGTCTCTATTAGATGTATACTTGAATGGACCTGATACACCAGTCATGTTAACCTCATAAATGCTTCTACGTAACAAATTTCCTTCATTAAAGACGTTCAAAGAATCAAGATGCAAGGTGTCTCCACGAAGTGCAGATAACTTTGAATCATTTGAGAACGAAATTGTGTTCCCATGTTTGAAAAATGCATCAAGTGCATGAGCAAGCAAATAAACAGTATCATATGCAAAGAGAGGTAAAAAGCTCAATCCAAGGGGGCCATTAGCAGTCTCTCCACTAGTCAAGTTTTTCCATCTAGAAACAAACCTTCTTTTGAGCTCAGAATCTGGCGTGTACACACGTAGTGTTATAACTCCTTGAATATCATCCATAAAATCTAAAGGGCGAGGACTATTCATATCAAGCAAAGCAGATAGAAAACCAGTGGCTATCCACACATAACCATTTTCCATCATCCCAAGAAACTTTGCAACACTAAACACCTTGGGACCCCCTTCAGTATTGGCATGAACAACTATAACCCTTGATTCTGCCAGAGCCACCTGAACAAGCACATTAGTAATCTCCTCCTGAGTTGCATTAGGGCTCAAAGGTGCTTTATATGAGATCCTGCAACGTCTCTCTGCAAGCTTATCCCCTAATGCCACTATTCCATTCCTCCCATTATCATCATCAATATAAACAGCAATAACATCTTTCCAACTATAATAGTTCACGAGGTCTGCTACTGCAGTCATTTGATAAAGATCACTGTGACAAGTTCTAACAAAGAATGGGAACTGAAGTGAAGAAAGGGTTGGGTCCAAAGCTGAAAATGACAGCAGAGGAACTTGGAGCTCATTTGCAATATGAGTTATCACGTGAGCTGTTACAGAGGTATGAGGGCCAATTATTGCCACAGTGTGTCTCGACATAACCTGCAAAACTGAAATGACAATTTGAAAGAGTTGAAGCAATTTGAAAGATTGTTTTCAAGCTTTAACGGATTAAAAAAGGGTGATGTTATGAAAGACATACCCTCAGAAATGCTCAGAAAACCTCTATATTTAGAATCTTCTTGAGGTGAGACCTTCAGCTTAGTTTTACCAAGAATATTTGGATCCGAATTCACATCTTCAACAGCAGCTTCTATAGCAATTCGTATACATCTACCAACACTGGTATTGAAAGAGAAGAGAGCTCCAATATTTACAAAATCAGGTATTGTGGAATTCTGAATGCCAGCCCCAGTTGAAGAAAACCCATTGGAGAGAACCATCAACGCCAAGAACCAAACTTTAATCATGGTTGAATGTGTTGCCTATAGAATAATAGCCACTAATAAATTATAAACTTCAGCTCTCAACCATGGCCTTGGTTGGTAAACAACAGGCACACCTAAAGCAAACAAAAGCATAGAGGTAGTAGTAACATTAGCACACAAAAAAAAAAAAAAAAAAAAAAAAAACATAACATCAGACATAAAGCAAATCTTAAACACACAAACGAGATGGGAAAGAATAAAACACTAAAAAGTATCAGATTTGAAACGACAAAACAGCAACACGTGAAGAACAGAAAACTTTATTAAAAAAGGCCAGTGAGTTACTAGATTCACAAGACAGGATGTGGAATCTATATTTAGCAGCTAAATGGTACTGAAAAACGTACAACTTGGTTCAATTTGAGAATAAGAAGATAAACATTAACCAGAGGCCATGAGTTGCACATGAAGAATGAACCAAAAGTAGAAGCAGTGCTTACACTATAAGCACAGTGGAAGACCAGGGCAGCACTGAAGAAAAGTTGAGAAACAAGGATAAATCTTGAAAGGTAAGGTTGATGCTATTGTTGGTGTTGAGAAATATTGTCCACAAAAATGAACAATAGTAGTAGCACTCTTCTGGGCATATTCTTGTTCTCATTGTCCTTTAATTTGTATGGGTAAAAGTGGGAGTGGCCCTTAGCATCAATAACTCGGGCATTGATTCGTTCAGTTCATGATTAATGTCAAACAGAACAGACACAACACCATTATTTTTGAGCAAATTGGTGTCAATGACGTGGAATTTTCACGAATGGAACATGACACAACATGTCATACTATTTTTATAACTTCCTTGAACAAGTAGATATAAAATGAAATATGTTACTCTATCTATTATTTTTTATGCTTACCTTTGTTTATTATCTTCCAACATCGTTAGATTAGAATCTCAGTATAAGAGAGAAATAATAAATGTAATTGAGATTCTAATCTAACAGTATTGGAGAGTAATAGGCAAAGATAGACAGAAAAAAATAATAAGTAGAATAACATATCTCGTATAAAATATTAAAAGTAAGTCTTTATTTTATTATTTATAAAGAGAATGAGTTTGAGTATACAAATAATTAAAGCATTGTTATTAAGAATTTATTTAAAGTTATCTTGTAGTTTGTCCATAACGATAAGGTTTTCTATCCTTAAAATTTAAGTTTAGTAAAATATTATAAAAATATGTTCCAGTGATTTTAAATGGTAAAATCTAAAATTACACTTCCTGTAATTACTTTTATAACTACAGCCGTCCACGAAAAAAAATGTGAATTTATATATATTTTTCTTTATAATAAGGGAGAAAATTTTCTATAAATACTTGTCATTATTTAAGTGGTGAAACATATAAAATTTTAGTAGTTATATTATTTCTTAAATATAAAATTCTAAACTTTGACCTGCATTTGATAATAATAAGTTAATTATTGATAAATCTCATGTATTAATTAGTTAACGGATTACTCTCTCTTTTAGGTTAAAAAAGCATATCTTTAACCAAATAATACACCTTATCAATTAATAATTAACTCATTAATACTGGGTATAGATAACAAAAAATAAGATTTCAACTGCAAATAAATATTTTCTTTATTTTTTTTCTTTATTTTCAAGTGCAAAAATAATATTATTTCATTTTAATATAGACTCGCTTGATCTTTAAAAATAGCCTAATATGAATATATGACATTTAAGATAATTAATTCTGTATTAAGTATGAATATAAATTGGGTTTTGTGTTTCTCTATTTGTAGAAGTTAAAATTTTAAAACGCTTTTTTTTGATAAAACGCTTTGTATTCTTTTCCTAAATTTCAAATTGATTTTTGAATGGTAAGAGATAATTTTATATTGACAAACACTTTTTATATAAATTTGTAACTTTAACATTTTTTTTATTTTTATGAATTTTTTACTTTTTCATATCCGTCGTTTTTCTTCTCTTTGTTGTTTTTTTTCTTTCTCTCTCCGTCATTTTCTATTCTTTCTATATTACTCAAGTTTTTTTTCTTTGACTTTTCTCACTTAAAATCCAAAAAAAATATGATTCACGTTATATGAAGGTAACAATTTATAATTTTTTTAATAAAACAGTACCAAAATTTTTTTATAAAGGAGAAGATGGTACTATTTTATAATAATTGTGTACTATAAATAAATAAATCATTGTCAACCTCTTCATGAACGTTGAAAAATTGAGAAGATAACAAAACTCCCATCAAATAGTCTTGGAGCCACCTGCTGTAAGGAATGACCCATTAGTACCAGGAAGGCCCACACCAAAGAAGAAGAAAAATCTGAGAACTTTACAATTTTACCATGCACAAAACACGTGATTCTCAATGGTAGAAGCTTCATAGTATTTGTGGTGGGGCTATTGTTGATTTTTAAGGTCCTTTCAAAAAAAAATAAAAAATTAGCACTTCAATATATTTTTCATTTTAACCCCTAGGAGGAAGATAAAAAAATTTATGTCTGAGAATTATGATTTCTAGAAATATGATAAGAAATTGAATTTATCGAGAATGGTATAATAAAGTTGTTTGGTAGGCGTAAATATTATCGATAATATTTGATGATTTTACTGAGCATATGTTTGATTGATGGTAAAATATTACTGAAAATATATGTTTAATTTATGACAATAACCTCAAATTTTCACTCAGTGGCGAAAAGCTAAAGGAGGTTAATTTTGTCTAATAATTTAGTAAATATGATATCCATTTCATTGGAATAATGAAATACCACACATTCAAGGAGAATTAGACTTCAGCTTTTCATGTGTTAAAATGATTTCTAGGAATCTTCATTTTCCAAATCCAATTTGAAACACCCTTCTACCAAATATGGAATTTTTAGACTGCTAGGGTTATTTTCCAAGGAACAAAAAATATTCCATCGTACCAAACGGCCCCTAATAACTGCTCATAATCCTTTCAACCTATATTTTATCCAAATAACACCTTTTTAATAACTGCTCATTCTATTGTAAATATCATATAAAGTAACACACATAAAGGAAATAAAAAACATCGGGGCAAAATAAAGAAGAAAAAAACATATAATTTTAATTCTCTACATGTTTAAAGGATGAGAGTTTTTCCATTGAAAACTCCTAACTACATGTTTAAAGCATGCAAGTTTTGGTGGGATTTGAATATGGTGACAGTGCACACCTTCGCGCAAGGTACTCTCAAAAAGGCACCTGATTTTTTTTCAAGCGCTTGATTTGTGTTTTTATCAAAAATATTTTTTTACGTCAATCTTGTTTTGCCTGATGCATTCAGGTTTTGCCCCTTTTATTTATAAAAAAAAATTGTTTCTCATAATTTAAATTTTTAGAAAGCGATCATAAATTTTTTTTTCATATATCACACCAATTGTGGATGCCACCGAGCCAAACCTCGTTCATCCTTTACATAAGCATGTGCCAAAACTCTCTTGGAGAGCTCTCGAATGTACTATCTCCATGGGTTGTTGTGTGTGATATTATGAATTTTTTACTTATATAATTGGTGATATAAAACTAAGATAACTGTTTAGATAACTGTTTATGTGAGTCGTTAAATATAAATAAAATTAAAGATTAAAATTATGTATAAAATTTGTTATTCTAATAGTGGTGTTGGTTGATCATCCCCTGATATGGGGAACAATCAATTTGTCTTGTGTAACAACAAAATTTCTTACATCATACTTGTATTTTTTTTTGGTACATCATCTTACTTGTATTTAATTGTTCATGTGAACTACCATTCGTAATAAATTATAATTATTAGATGCACGTAAAACTAACTAACAATAATAGATGTTAGAATTCTTATATATATATATATATATGGGTCATGATCATTTTGCATTAGCATAGGTTACATTCTCAATCTTGATCCTTGATTTTATTTATATCCAATGATTCTAATTTATTAGATATTTGAGTTATTAGATGCAAGTAAATCGATGATCCATATTTGGTATAAGATTTTTTATTCTTACTCCACTGTAAGAATATTCTTCTCTCTCTCTCTCTATATATATATATATATATATATATATATATATATATATATCGAAAAACATTTCTCCCGTAACCATTATTAAGTTTTCCTCCTCTTGTAGCCATATGTTAATACAAGATAACCATAAAATTAAAAACATATAAACAACATAATAAAATAAAATAACATATATATCATTCCATTACCATGAAATAATTTTCTTTAAACTTTAACACCATTAGTTAAATTTGGATGAAAAACAAGTAAATGGAGATAATTGATTATGAATCTGTTATGGACCTGAGTAAGGTCCACACCCACAAGAAGCTCAAACCATACAAGCCCAAAGGTAAGCACTATAAATAGGAGTTAAAGATCACAGGTACGACTGATCTCTCTCTAACCCTATTTTATGCATTCACAACAGCGCACACATACACCCCCTTTGGCTAAGGCCGTCATATAGTGTGTAGTGATCCGCTGCCCCCAAGATACCTAATTCATAGGTATCTAGAGAGAAAGCATTAGATCCAACATCAAACACCTGACCTACGGTTGGACATCTCTGCCTCAGGCAAAACAGAATCAAAACACAAGTAGTAGATGATAAAAAAAAATACTTCAAGGGTAAATGTTTTAGAAGCAAACCTCACGGGGGTTAATGAAGTTTTCCCAATAAAAAATGGACATCAATTATTTAGTATGATAAATATAAAAATTATATAATAATAAAAACTAGGTTGATTGACCCCTTTGCCGTTGTTTTTAAAAATAATTATCACTTTGCCCCTCTTTACAAACTATATGATACTCATATACAATGCATGTCAAGACTCCCTTCTCCTCACACATTATACATGTCTCACCTAACTTAGACAACATACATAATATGTTGAATACAACATAAAACATTAATAATAATAGAATAGACTAACTATTATAGGTATTTTTTAGGGAGGGACTAACTATCAGCGCTAATAGTTTATTATTATTACACAGATATCATTTTATATAATAATAATAATAATAATAATAATAATAATAATAATAATAATAATAATAAAATAATCAAAGTTTAGATAGGGGCGACTGACAACGCTCACCCCTCCCTCGATTTGCCTCTGGCAGCAAGTTTTCTCCTCCTAACTATAAGTGTCACTAGAAGGAGTGCTTACACCATAAGCATTGTGGAAGACCATTGGATTTGGATGAACGCTAAAATAATTTTTTAAAATCCTAATAGAATACCACATGACTTTTTTTTCAATCCTTTAAAATTTTAATTGAATACTAATGAATTTTTTTGTCCAAAAACAATCCATTAAAATTCATGTTAGTATTTCTATATATAATATAGTCTCTGCTGTGCTGTTATGACACATGAATTTATTCCAATATTCCTTTCGTCTCTTATTACTCTACATGGTAGCTAGAGTCTAACGAGAGGAACCTGCTTATTTTCTCCGGTGAACCAACTCTTCATCGCCCTTTTCAAAAAAATTTCGGATACTATCTCTTTGTCAATTTCTGGACGTCTCTTTTGTTCTTGGGTCGTCTTTGTATTGTTGCTGGCCCTTTCTCCTTGCA